TCACCAACTGGAGCCTCTCTACATCGAGTGTGCTTGGGAATTTTCTGGGTCCTCTGGCTTCCTCCCACACTCCAAAGATGTACATGTTAGGTTAACTGGAGATTCTAAATTGACTGAGAACATGAATGGTTTTTATCTCTCTGTTTTAGCCCTGTGACAGACAGGTTATCTGTCCACAGTGTACCCTGCCTCTCGCTCCATGACAGCTGGGATAGGCTCCAGCCCCCTTGCAGTCCTGAATTGTATAAGCAGTTTAAAAAGTGGATGGCTGTTAAGGTGGTTTCTTTTGGAGATTAGAGTCCAGGCAGACCTTTGACGTCATCGCTGCTGGGTTTTTGTGACGCAGGAAACTAGCCTCTAATTCAACATGGAGAATATTCGTAATGAGGGGTTGTTCTCAAAGCACTTCTTCTTGAATATATACGAACTCCTGCCATTTTCTTCTTTCTCTAAAATTTAAAAGGACAAGGGGAAGGTCAGTGATGACCAGTGACTGCTAGCTTGCGCTGTTGGTATATATTTCTTTAAACAATAAGCTCTAAAATATCTTTATGAATTACTTTTTAGTCATTATCAGGTGAAACATGCCATGCAAGTTGTATATATATATAATTCAATAAATATCAGCCCATTTAAATACTGAATTTGACTTCATGGGGAAAATATCTGGTTGTTTGCATGCTAAATGCTACTTAGTGATCCACAGCAAGTTGTTAAAAGTGTGGTTTTTTTGTCATAAGTGTTTTCAGGCCCATCTTTGCCCACTATTAGTAACAAAGAGGTAACAAAAGCAGTAAGTTTCCAGCACCAAAACAAAGAGGTGAGCAGCAGAGGCTCAGTAAATAGAGCAGATCATCAACTAATCAGAAAGTCAGTGGTTGAAAAAATTATCCAGCTCCTCTAGTCTGTATGTTAAAGGTGAGTTCAATGTAGCTGCACAGTGTGTTCATTTTCCAGCTTTGGCATTTTTCTTTTCAAAAAACAGAGATAATTGTAGCCACTTGCAGTTGGATCAAACCAGCAATATTACGTATTTATGCTAAAAATGGCTGCATCTATTCATGTGTTTTTCTTCTCTAACAATGTGAATGCACATTAGCTTTTTTACGCTGCATTAGAGTACATTCAGCCAGAAAGCTGCCTCTGCTCGTATAGCAGTGAGTGAGTGATTGCCGCTCCTGCAATCAGCCACAAATTCACTCTAAATGAGTTTCAGGAGCTTGTGAAGAGGGAAGGCGAGGGAGGCACAGCTGCTTCTGGTTCAGTGTGGTTAACATGTGAAGCAGAGTGATTTTTCAAGAAATTCAAATCAGAAGTTTACACCATTTTTATTCTGACAGAAACAGACTAAACTTCGAGTAAGAGCTTTTTTAAAATTCTTTATTAATTCAGGCTGTCATCAGTTCACTTCATCTCTCCATAAAAGTAAAACACAGTTGTCATCATTTAAACTTGTGACTTGTCAAAACTCAAATGATCGATTAAAGTACATTTTAAATTAAATTTTATTCCAGATGTAGACGATAGGGACCAGGTCAGCTACCACTCAGCAGAGGCGGAGCCAGACATTTGAAACACCCGGGGCTTAGCCCAAAAGGGTAGTATGCATGTGGGATTTTTTTTTTTCCCCTTGGGGCGGGGGGGGGGGGGGGGGGTTAGAAATGACTGAAAGATTAATTGGCTCTGTTTTGAGTTTTGTTCAAAAAAGAATGACTTCATATAGGGAAAAATATATATCACATATGCAGGACACCTTAAACTAGTTTTTTAATTAAGCAGCAAGGCAGAACAAGGTCGGGGCTGTATCAAGACACAGGGACTAAACCCCAATTCAACCAGACCCAGAACTGATCCAGAATTAAAACAGGACTACAACAGTTCAAAATCAGGACTACTGAGGACTTAACCAAGAGAGAACCAGAATCAGAACTAGATGATAGCAGCACTAAAAATCATCATCATAGACCTGCACTACACTTATTTTTTAATTTTACCAAAGTACAATATTTAGATTCAGAAAAGTTTATATAATTATTGAGCCTTGTTGTGCAAACAAGCCTGCATAACTTAATAAATATATAACTTGAAAAATAACAAACCTAAAAAGAAACACTAGGTACGAGATACATGAGTACCTATGATACGGTGATACTTTTGGTAAACAACCATTTGACTAACATGTGTGTCTCACCTGCTCTTGTTCCATCTCTGTTCTGTTCCTCTCTCTCCCTCTCTGTGCTGACAATCATCAAATATACAGTTGAAACCAGATATTTACAAACTCTTCAGATCAAAACACAAACACTTTTTTAATTGTAACATCAAATCAGACTAAATGTTTATTTTTTTAGATTGATAAATATAAAAAACATATTTGTTAACTTTAAGAGTAAAGAGAGAAACTATCTGTGTTTCTTAATTGCAAATGGCACCAAATTGTATGCAAAATTGAGCCACACTTATGGAGCTCCACAGTTCCTTTCCTGGTGTTTTGGTTGACATCTCTTGATTTTCCCATGTCAAAGAAACAGGCTCTGTGTTTTGCCTTATATGCATCCACAGCTGTGCCACCAGTTTACTCACATGGACTCTACTAACCTATCAGAAGCTTCTTCAGCTCAGAATGGAATCGTCTGGAGTTTTCTTATTAATTAACAATAAACTTAGTGTACATGTACTCCTTAATATGATGAAAGTGATAAAAAATAAACAGCTCTGTCTCTCTTTATTCTGACATTTAACTAATTCAAAATATATTTCAATATTTATCTAAAACAAGTTTACTCTAAATTGATGTTGTACAGTAAAAATGTTTTACGTTTTCTCCCTAAAGTGTATGTAAATATCTGGTTACAAATGTGAATATCCTGCTGTGTACTGAAATCCCTCTTGTTTTGCATAGAAATATACTGAACAACATACAAAGCATAATATATAAAATAACATTTACCTGAGTTTTTTTCTTTGAAAGAAGCCTCTAATGTCCATTCTTATGTTTCAGTACATAACTGAAACCGATTTAGTCGGGGAGGGTAAGAACTGAAAATATGAAATAAACACACGTAAGCTAAGACTCTCTAAAAAAAAATAGCATTTGTTCGGCTTTTCATTTCGCCATTTGTTGATTCACTTGAAGAGCGAGTAACGTAATATTGGTCAAGTGATCAGTTTGATATCAATCTTTCGTGATACACCGTCATATTTACATTATTTGTACGGTACGAATGATTTGCTTTGGTACCTGGTCAAACTTAAGCTCTCCTTAGAATGGCTGGCTCAGTCTCTCCAACAGCGCACTCACGGGCAGCAGCTGCCCCGCCCCCTCACTCAGTCGCTTAGTGCCTGAGCTTGGATCATACCAATATCAGGGGGGGATTCACGCACAGTCGTAAATTCCCACAGTGTGCACTATGTGCTTCGAATATTGTGTGTACTTTTTGTTTTATACAGTTGTCAGCCAGGCATCTAACTATGAAAAAATTACACTCCAAAATACCCCGGGCTTCTGACAAAACAACCCGGGCTTAAGCCCAGTAAGCCACCCCCACGCTCCGCCCCTGCCACTCAGAGGCAGTTCCTGTCTTGATATAATTACTTTGGTGCCTCAAGATGGGAAGTTAAGTTGGTCAAGTTGGGAATTACATGCAATACTTTAAAACTGTCAGTACTGTTTGTGGCATTACAGCTATTAATTGTAATAAACTGGTGAAATTTGCAAATCTGCTACTGTCTACATAGACAGAAGGTCAACCAGAATCTCACACACTCAAAAAAAATATGCCCCAAATTGCTGACTTGAACTAATTTAATTACATGTAATATTTGTGTGTGATTTTGTCACAGAAGTCCAAAGTAATGTTAAAATTAATGGAATCTGATCAAGGGAAATTTACTTGATTGTTATATATGTAGTTATATGTAGTTCAGAGTTGCACTCAGACTGATTGCAACATGTTGGCATGTTGGAGACAGGTTGCCTCTCACAAAGTGAAGTATGCAACTATTCAGAAGGTGAATGTGTTGCACGCTCTCAGGCAACCACTATTTTTGTTTTCCTAGTTTCAAAGAGGTTGCCGTCCTGTTTTGACTCCATGGTCATCTCCAGTCAGGGCACAAAATCATCATCAACCAGCAAACTTCTGAGGGAAACTTTGTCTTTAATGCATTTTGAATGAATCGCTGGTTTTTTACAGAGTAATGAATACATGGAAAATGTACATTTTAGTCCTCTGTACACTAACGATCCAAGAAAGTCTGTAAGACTAGAAGTTCAGTCAAAGTTTTTTTTCTCTGAACATCTTCTCATACTCCTTCCCGATGCCGTCAGCTGGGACAGCCACATTTATAAAAACTGCCTTTTTTTTCTCCCGTGTCTGACGTATCTTTCTTTGGTTGGTTGGCCAGCAGCGGCTTATCTGTCTGGAACTTGAGGTCCCACAGGACTTGAGCGCTGGAGTGGAGTGTCCCAGTGGGACTTGTGAGCTTTTAACGAGCACAAATGTTCCTGTACACTATTACACAATTACTGTCATGAGCAGCTGGACTGTCCCAGAGCTTCTTTGCACACGTGCACCTTCAGTGCTGCCTCTGTGACACTTACTGTGCTCAGGGCATGAGTTTGCAGCCATGATCAGAACACTTGCCTTTTCTTGCCCCACTGGTAGGACTTCTTGAAGTCAGCCTCATCCTTTATCTGTTGATGGTACATGAAGAGGTTTGGTCTTCGTGGTGTTACCACTTACCCCTCATCACTTGTCTTCTTGTCCACATGTTCTTGTTGTCTTGGTTCTGCACTTTGTCTGGAACCCTCCACATATTGAGTCTAAAATTTTTCTGGTAATTTAAATTTTTTTTAGCAAGATAACAGACAATCACATGAACTGAACTTGGGCTTTATTGTGGTATCTTGTGGTCTGTATCTAATTCTGAGTGTACTGTTTTTTTAAAAACATGTTTTCCTGGCTCTTTTATGTCTTACGTATTTTTCTCTCCATTATCAGATTCACAGGTGGTTTACAGGAACCGGGATGGAGATGTCATCAAGTTTGACTTTGACCTGAATGACACACACGTTCTCCTCAGCAACAGCATATTTGTGAGTGTTTTTACACTTTCTTTATTTAAACATATTAAATATTCCAATACACGCCCATGCGCCTGAGCTGTTATATTCTATGAATGCCATTTTACTTCACTGTTAGGTGATTGCCAAGGAATGTGATGTGTGAATATACATACTAGTGCAGGGGTCAGCAACCTTTAACACCCAAAGAGCCATTGGACCCGGGTTCCACACAAAGGAAAACACTGGGAGCCGCAGATACTTTTTGACATCTAACATGAAGATAACACTGTATATATTGTTTTTTACCTTTATGCTTTGTGTGAACAACTAAGGTGTGTTGCTTATGAAATTCATGAAGTGCTACAGAGAAAATTACATTTTATTCATGTAATTAACACATTTTGAACTCTTAAAGAAATATAACCAAAGGAAAGACACCCAGCTGAACTAAAATGATCCAGCAAACAAAAACTGTTGTGAGCCGCCACCCTTATATCGCCTTTGGGCTTTTGGAGCCTTGACCTGACTTTTAAAAAATAATTGGAAAAAAAGCACTATGCTGCTAAAAGATGAAAAATAGATATTTGCAAAATTCTGCCTAAATATGTATTTTACCTGGTTAATGTGTGTGGCGGGGCGTGGTCTGCAGCGCCGCTTAGGGGAGGCGGATGCACCTGAGCGGCACCCGCAATCACGCCTCGCCACCTTAACGTCTGTGCTCTCTATGCTGTTGTGTTGGTGTGTGTCGGGCTGTGAGCTGCAAAGCTACAGCTGGCTGTATACGTACAGCAACCGTGTGTGAAAAGTGGTCAATAAAGAGATGCTGAAAAGCATGTTCATGCAAATATCGTCGGGTCTGCCATGATATGTTTACAATGGGACTTATTTTGAGCGATGAAAAAATAATAGAATATAATTTTATTTTTATATTTCAACATCACAATAATCTTCCAATTTAGAACTACAAGTTAAAAAATGAACTAAGACAAAAAATACACTTCAGCTAAATACTTCTAAGTTATTTTCCCAAACCACGCGGAGCCGCAGTATAAGGACTAAAGAGCCGCATGCAGCTCCGGAGCCGCAGGTTGCTGACCTCTGTATAGTGTATAGAGTAGGGCTGCTCGATTATGGCAAAAATGCTAATCACGATTATTTTCACTGAAATTGAGATCTCGATTATTTGACGATATTTATTTAACAATAACAATGTATTGAATAATGACTTTAAAGATTGTCAAAAAATAATTTAAAATAGTGTGCAAATACTGATAACAGTGCAAATGTTTGCAATATAAAAAATAAATGAAAAATGTAAACATCTATGTTTAGTGAACTTCAAAATACTGCACAATATTTCTGCATACAAATCAAGGCAAGCTGTGTAGCCACACAATGCACAATTGCATCAAACTGACATTGAGGTATGTCAACTAAAGTTGCTGCTCCTTCATTCTTTGATCGTATGTCACTTTGTGAGCGGTCTTCACACTATGTCTACTTGATCCACGTCTGACTCCGTGAACCCATAATGTTTCCACACCACTGAAGTTTTTTTACCTCTCTTTTCAACCAACGGCAGTCACTCTCCTCCCCAAATAACTTCTGCTTAGCTTTCCGAGCTTCCCTCGGGTCCTCTTAATTGTTGTGACGCGTGTTCGAATCGCAGAGAGGTGCGCTCGTTTTACCACACAGAGCAGCGCGAGAGTAAAGCACGAGGGAGGGGCTAATAACTGTTTACAACTTGCATAGTTCCCATTTCTGTATAACTGTATATCTCAGATTTCTGTAAAGTTATTTATTTCATATTCTGTATAGTTTTTCATATTTATATCCTGTTCATAGCTTGTACATAGCTTGTACTCACTACAGCCTGTACATACTTATAGTTATAGAATATTCACAACATACTTCATACCGTGTACATTATAACATACCATAATAGACCCATTTCTGTAATATACTTACATATCTATATTATTGCTAATATATATATTGTAATATATCTATATCACTAAAGCACTTCTGGATGGATGCAAACTGCATTTCGTTGCCCTGTACCTGTGCATGTGCAATGACAATAAAGTTGAATTCTATTCTATTCTATTCTAATTCTATTCTAATAATCAGCTCAGTCATTTTTAATGATCATTGAAAGCCCAGATCGTAATTTAGATTAAAATTCGATTAATTGAGCAGCCCTACCCAATAGTTATGTTTTGTGGACATAAAGGAGATCATTTCATTAATTTGAAATGATATAATGGTTTTAGAAGGTGTTCTAGATGTGTAAAAGCTACAAAAGGGTAATTTTAGTATGTTGGTAGGGTTAGTAATATCTGATTTAGATAAGAACCTAATATTCAAGTTTTGGGGATATAAATTAGATGTTAATGTTACAAAATTAAAACGATATAATGGTTTTTAAAAGACTATAAATGGCACATTTTAGCCTAATGCTAGGTGGTTGCTTTGCAGAATGATACCATCTTAATATCAGATGTAGCTGAAAGCCTTCAGGGGTCAAAGATGTACCTCTATACAAAGTTTGATTACTCAACCTCTGATCATACACACGTTAAAACACAAATATCATCTTTTAGGACTTAAAGAAAACAGAATTACAGAACTGGCACAGTAAATTGGACACTGGCCTTGCGATCTTACTTCTGTCTAGTGCTCATCACAAAGCTTTCTCTTCTACTGTCTGGCTGCTGGGTCCCCAGAGGCTGCAGGAAACAAGTCTCATCCCTGCTTTATCTGCACAATAAAAATACAGTAGCCTCCTGGTGAAGACGCTGGTTGCCCGGCTGTCTGCACTGCGGACAAACTCAAACCTCTCTTTAAGGTTGATCCTCACCTCAACTTACCTGGAAAAGAGGATTTGACGTGTGAATTATAATTTTAGATAATTCTCTAAAACCTGATGCGAGCACACAAATGAACATTCATCATGAGTTGTCACACATGTATTACTTCCAGGAATTTTAAATTATTCCAGTGCAGGGCTAAATTGGCTGCTTTCTAATTGCATCATTATAATCCTGTTGGTGTTCCATCATCACAATCATAAACCATTTATTCTCAGCCGCGCTGTCACCGGGAAGCATGTTTCTACATCAACATGCTTAAATGAGTAGCTCCATGATGAAATCAAAAGACAGAGGTGGCCTCGGTGATGAGAAGTCATAGTCTTGACCCATGCTCGATAGCTGCATAGACAAACAGCTTCAGCATCTAAACCGAGCACTGGCCTGTCTTGCTGCACAGCTTCCCTCGGTCAGCTGTGCACCTAATTTTTTGCAAATAATTGCAAAAACGACACATAAGGCAAAAAGTGGCACTAGAAGTGATGCATGCTGTTTAATTTTTAAGCCTGCCTAATTATTCAGACTCTGCAAAATTTTGAAATGCTGTCTATAAAATGTTGGTCTACCACTTCGTATACCAGAAATGTCACAACCTGCTGAGGTTCCCGTGTGGTTTTGTGACCTTTATCTGCCACATTAGCTTCTGCCTGCTGCATTAGTTTTCTTTTCTTTTTTTCATCATTGTCCTGGGGCAAAACCTGGAAAAAAGCTGGGGTGAAAATAGAACAGCAACCTCCAGATTTTACCTCAACTAGGAAAAATCAGAATCAGAATTTGACGCTTGACCATAAAACCCAACACCCTCCTGTTGGTGGCTCAGCTCTCAGCAACTTAATTCTTCCAGCCCTTCTCCTCCCTTTGATACCAGCAAGAGGCTCTTTCTGCTGCTTCCCTAATCCTGCACACAGCTGTCTTCAATTCATTCCCTTTTTACCCCACTTCTACAGAAAACAGCTGTGCTTGCCACCCTCTCTGTCTGCACTCTTTGATAATGTCTTGGTATTTATTTATTTTAGGGTTTTCCTTTCCTGAGCCTCATCACAGCCTTCTTCCAGTGGCACAGTAAAGTCCATAAAGATGACCTTCTTAACCTGGTCTGATCGTGCTGGCAGAGGTCTGAAAACAGCTGTGTGTTCGGCTGATAGAGTTTGGGAGGTTGAGCAAACAAGAATGGGAGAAACTTCCCAAAAATAGGTGTTCCAAGCTTGTAGCATCAAAAGTCTTGAATACCTATATACATATTTTGTTTTTTTTTAATTTTGAATGAAGTTGCAAAAAATTTCAAGCTAACTTTTGTGACTTTGTCATCATGGGTTATTGTGATTGGAATTTTGAGGTACAAAATGAATTGAATCCATTTTGGAATACAGCTGTAACATGACAAAATGGGAAAGAGGTGAAGCGTTGTAGACTTCAGTGAAGCATCACAATAAGAGCAGAGTCCCAACATTGGTAGGAAGTAGGACAGCAGCCTGGCAGTTGTGGAGATGAAGCAAGTGGAGAGTTGGGTCAAATGGTGAAATATATATCTGACCTATGGAACTTATGTTTAAGCTAAAAAACAAATACAGAACTTAATCGATTTAGGAGGAAGTTTATCTATTAACACTTGGTAACTAACCTTATCAGGATGCAATATTGCCGCACAATACCAGTGCTCAATCAATTTTTTTCGCCCCACTCCTACCAGTTGTCCATTCCTGCCTCCTGAGTGCTTGAGCTCTCTGTTATCTTTTTTTTTGCTATTGTTTGCTTGCTTGATATAAATGTGGACTGAGCAAAAAAACATAAAAAAAAATCTTCTCCTCTTCTTCTATTTCTTTTTTTTCAATCAGGTTTCTTTCAAGGTGGCAAAGTACTCCCTGTCTGCAGATCTAAAGTATGCACTCTTTGCCTATGACGTCAAACGGGTGAGTTTTACATTAAAATGCATCCACAACCCACTATGATAAATCAAAATCCCCTGAACATCACATAAAAAAGAGCAAACAGAACAGATGGTGCATTTTTTATTTGCTTCCTCGTGAGCACACACCCTACGGCAGGAGTTCATCCTCACTGTCACAAACCTTTTGTTTCATTTCCAGCCAGGACGGTACTGACACTGCTTTCATTCACTTATATGCATGCAGCAACCTGATGTTTTTATTCCTAATCATGCTGTTTTGTTCTCAGACAAACTGTTTTTCAAACCCATAAAAAAATGGAAGCGACATAAATTAAAAGCATTCACTTTAGACTGAGCATACGCCAGCTGATTGCAAAACACAATACTTACCGCGCTGCACGCGCCCACCGTTTCTCTGTGAGTATAAAGAGCTGCACCTGTGCTGAGCAGGTGTGTGTTTATTTGCGGTGAGGCTGTGTGCCTCTGCCCTTCCTGTGCATTTTCACTCTGTCTCTCAGTATTTTTGTGTTTTTCTGTTTGTTAGCGGTCAGTCATCCACCACGAAGCTCTCCTCCCCTCACAGGTTTTCCATTGATTTTTAGATTTGTTTGCAAACCGATGCATCCAGGCTTTAGAAAGTCTGCAGCAACTGAAAAACTCTGAGGTGGATGTTTGTACATCCTGCACTGGGGTCTGCAACACCAGTTTAAGGGCCTCTCTGCAGGATGGATCGGTGTTTGTTACCATAAAAAAAAAAACACACCTTGGAACATCTTCTGTTTATATAGAAACATGTAAACAGCTTTATTTTCAATGAGCTTTACTTTTTTAATATACCCTCCACTTATCGCACCCCTGTTTACCATCTACTGCAACATGATATCCCCTTAAGTACAATTAAAGCCTCTTCCTGAGGTTTTTAGTTGCACTCAGTTGAATTTCTTCCAGTTCAAGTTTGTTTTATTCCTTAGTTAATATTCCAATATTTATATTAAGCTTGGATTACATAGTGAGGGCATACTTAATATATTCAGATACATGGTGCTGTAAGAGGAGTCTTCTGACTTTAAAGGCACTTTTGGGGGAAATTAAATCAGAAAACCTAAAGTGTGGTTTGTGGTTTCCAGTGAATTAAATCATTCATGCAACTTTAAAGGGCCAAAATTGCACAAACAACATGATTTAATCTCCTGTATTTTTCCAGTATTTGAGAATTTTAAATTCCTACCTCAAGAGCAAGCAGTTTTTAAGTGATACCATGGATTTGAGGGCCAAAAACACAAAAGATAAGTGTCAGGAGAGAGATCTGGACTAGGAGTCAAACTGCCGGTGTTACAGTTTAAAAGCAAATGTTTAACCACCCAAGCCTCCACTGCTTTACAGTCGGCATTTATAAATGTGCCACATGATGTGAAGTGGTATCTAAAATGTTGTAACAAAGAGTGAAAAAACATTTAGTACTTTCCTTGTTCAAGTTGTCAAATTTGCATTTTTATGTGTTTTTGTGACAATTTCATGGCCCCAACTTTGTGGCAACAGTTTAGGGTTGGCCCCTTCTTTTTGCAGCATGCACACCAGTGCACAAATCAAGGTCCATAAAGACATGGACTGATGTCACAAATGTGCTTCTGGAAGAACCGGTCAAAAATTCCCAGAAGAGCTGAAGCTGTTATAGCTGCAAATGGTGGACTGACCTATCAAACCCTATGGATTAAGAATGGGGCGTCACTCATGTTCATACATGTTTGAAGACAAACAAACTAATACTTTTGGCTGTATAGTTTAAGTCCATTCTCACTGCTTCCAGTGTAATTAAGTGGGTAAATAGCACCCTGGTGCTGCCAATCAAATGGACTTGATTAGTTAATGATCAGCAAGTATGAGCACCTCTATAAAAGCAGAACTTTTGGCATTTTGCATACTCAGAAAAACTGCCAAAAACCCAAGAATTACACCTCAGACTCTACAGGCCTTAATTAGCATGTTAAATGTTAAATTTCACGAGAGTACAATTAAAAAAGACTGAACAAGTATGGCGTGTTTGGGAGGATTGCCTGAAAAAAACCTCCTCTCTTTAAAAAGAACATGGCAACACAGCTTAGGTCTGCAAAGCTACATCTGAACAAACCACAAGACTTCCATAACAATGTCCTTTGGACAGATGATATCAAAGTGGAGTTGTTTGATGATAATGCACAAAACTAGACCCAACATCAGCACAAATACCTCATACCATCTGTCAGCACATGGTGATGGGGTGTTGATTTGGGCTTGTTTTGCAGCCACAGGACCTGGACAGCTTGCAGTCATTGAGTCGACCCTGAACAACACGTAAAGTATGCTAGAGTCAGATGTGGGGCAAGTTGAACAGCTAAAGCTTGGACCAAACTGAGTCATGCAACAGGACAATGATCTCAAGCACAGCAACAAAAAGCAATGGGTGGAAAAAAAATTTAAGATGCTGTAGTAACCAGTCAAACTTCAGACTTCAACCTGATTGAAATCCTTTGATCTGATATCCTTAAGAGAGCTGTGCATAAATGAAACCTTGCAAACTTCATTGAACCGAAGCAACATTATAAAGATGAATGGACCAAAATTCCTCCACAACATTGTAAAGAATGATAAAGTTAGGCAGAAAACAATTACTTCAAATTTTTGCTGCTAAAGGTGGTTCTACACTTTTCACACTTGCCTAGTTTATTTCACCACATTCATTTGTTGGGTGGGTGGAATCAATGGATCCGGTAACATTATTCTTAACTTAAAATTGTTGAACAAAGCCTACAGTAAGAGCCAGTACCCCCAGTGCTTCTGATAAAATACAGTATACCCAAATTTGCATGATTCGTTTCCCATTGACTTGAAGTGAACCTGGGGGCCAGTCCACTGGCAGTGGTAATTCATGAATATGCAGATGTTCTGTAAATAGCTTCTAAAAATCCTGCTCGCGGACAAGAGGGGAATCTGGGCTGTAAGGAGAGATTGATGAAGATAGATTGAGACAGCTTTTGCTGAGCAAAATGTCAGTATGATCAATATTTGTAAGAAAAAGCAAAACACAAGACAAATAGTGCAATAACACAAGATATTTAAGCCAGAATGGATGACGTGTCAGTTCATAGCATCATTGGGTCGATAAAGATGACTTTACTGAAGCATTTGTAAACATACATCATTTTAAGCATCATAGCGAAGGTCAGTCAGTCAGCAGCAATCTGTGAAAAGCAGATTAATCTGTAAAGCACAACTCGTCCAGTTTCCTTGGTATCGTTTGATAAAGATGTGTTACACCTATTCCACACGTGAACACATGTGTGTTAGTACGTAAAAAAGAGCCTGCTTTTATTTTGACCGCTGTGTCCTGAAATCCTCCTATTTAATAGAAGTTAAGTACAAATCCTTGGAGTGTATTATAACCCTTAAGTTTTACACTTGCATATTTTGCCAGCAAGCTAGGTTTTGTTAAGTGTGTTATTAGAAAAAGAGCCAAGTGCAAAAAGAAGAATTTTAAGCTGCTTAATGAGAGAAAAATCAAAACAGCTAACACTGAAAAAGACTGTTATAACCTGTTTCTACCAGAAACACACAAAAAACATGATGTCCGTTACTCAAATTTTTGGGTTAGCAATTTAAAATTAGAATGAAACACAATGGGAATACAAAAGGAATAAACAAGTGCTTGGGTGTGGCTGTGGCTCAGGTGGTAGAGCAGTTCAGCTACTGGTTGGAAGGTTGGTGGTTCAATTCTTGGCTTCCCCAGTCTGCATGCCAAATATCCTTTGGCAAGATACTAACCCCAAGTTGCCCTCCGATGTGTTCATTGGAGTGTGAATGTAGTTTAGTTTGCACTTATGTTTAGAAGTGTTTGTATGAATGGGTGAATGAGGCATGTTGTATACAGCTTTGAGTACTCTGGGAGAGTAGAAAAGCGCTTTATAAGAATCAGTCCATTTACCATTTACAAACCTATCAAGAAAAGCAAGTGGAGAACAAAAGCCAATATAGAAAACAGAACCAAAATACAAAACAAAAAAACCACCAAACATCCCCAAAATAACTCAAGAACTCGAACATTAACCATACTCAAAACAAGAACAACCACGAGCTCCTAAAATAAGAACACAAGCAGAGAACAGAATTTACCAAAATAAAACAGGAAGTGACAGCAACGGAAACATCGATAAAACCATCAAAGACATACACTAGGGCTGCTCGATTATGGCAAAAATGATAATCACGATTATTTTCACTGAAATTGAGATCTCGATTATTTGACGATATTTATTTAACAATAACAATGTGTTGAATAATGACTTTAAAAATTGTCAAAAAATAATATAAAATAGTGTGCAAATACTGATAACAGTGCAAATGTTTGCAATATAAAAAATAAATGAAAAATGTAAACATCTATGTTTAGTGAACTTTGCAGTGTTGCTCTGTGGTGCAGCTACGACACTGTAGCAAAGTTTACACACTATGTCTACTTGATCCACGTCTGACTCCGTGAACCCATAATGTTTCCACACCACTGAAGTTTTTTTTACCTCTATTTTCAACCAACGGCAGTCACTCTCCTCCCCAAATAACTTCTGCTTAGCTTTCCGAGCTTCCCTCGGGTCCTCTTAATTGTTGTGACACATGTTCAAAATGCAGAGAGGTGCGCTCGATTTGCCACACGGAGCAGCGCGAGAGTAAAGCACGAGGGAGGGGCTAATAATCGGTTCAGTCATTTTTAATGATCGTTGAAAGCCTAGATCGTAATCGTGATTAAAATTCAATTAATTGAGCAGCCCTAACATACACATATTCTGCTACATGGATTTATTATGCCAATGCAAGAAGCAGAACAATAACAGAACACTCAGGTTCGCAGGGTTTAAACTACATATGTACTGTCAGATTTGATTTAGGAACTCATTCAGCAGTCACATAATTATTAAAGGTATCAAACAAAACCTCATGTCACAAACAGCCAGCTAAAAAAGCCAAAACTACCCGATTATTTGAAGTATTGCAATCAAACAGGAAGCAGAATAACGAGATGTTTGCAAACGACTGTGACTTCAGCACGTATATCAAAGTTTTCCCGCTGCAGTTGGTTTGTCTTTGCTCAGCAAGGCTGGTATCAGTGATGGATCAGTGTTTGCATTATGTGATGGCTTGCTCTCTCATTTCAGATGTACAGATATTCATACACCGCATCTTATATCTTGTACAACATCTACACGAGGTAAGCCGGTTTAGACTTTTCATCATCACCTGCTCTCTGCACGTGACGGCATTCAGGTTGTTTTATTTCTGTGTGTGTGTGTGTTCAACAGGGAGGTAAGGGAGCTGAATCCTCCCGAGGTCCACAATGCTGTGCTCCAGCACGCAGCCTGGGGACGACAAGGACAGCAGCTGGTAAGGCTGAGCGTGTCTGTTTTTAAAGCGTGATGCTTTCTCTCATTTCCTTTCTTCTGTCCTCGGCGGCTTTTTATAAATTCACGCTGCCCAGCCGCTCCAGGGGGATCTGCTCCACAGGATAGGTTGTGTTTACACGTTCTCTGTTTTCGTCTGTAGTTAATTTCACATTTTTACATTATGTTACACTCAGGGTGCTTCTTCAGACTTATTAGTAGAGTGAGGAAGTCTCTGGGCCACCTGTTTTCATTTTAGCGCTGTGCTGTAGAAATAAATTCAGCACTGTAAAGTAGGGCTGGGCCATATTATACCGTTCACGGTAATACCGGTATAATGTTAGGCAACGATAGGAAAATGAAATATCGCGATAGAATGGGAGTAAAACGCGCATGCGCAGTGCCTTTGTTTTCATACGCACATGGCCGATTGTTGAGTGAAACAGATGAACCAGAATTGGTTTGTAAAAATGGTGCAACTTCAGTGATGTGGAACTGGTTTGGTGTTTGTCCGTCAGATACACAAGAAAGCACATTTTTTTGCAGAACATGCAAGCGGCCGTTGTTATTGTCATATTTGTCGGACTAAGATGCTCTTAAATCTGGGAGTAATCTGGGTCCTAAACTCCGTATGCTTCAGGTCAAACAACACTGCAGCATCACTTAGAGTTAAAAACTGTCTAAATTCTTTCATCTTTAATAAAACGATCAGCATTGCTGCTTTACCAGGTGTAACTATAAAGTTTAACTTCCAGGCATCCATGAAAACAAAAGTTATTACATTTAACGGAGTTAGAAGTTAGCAGGAAGCTAGCGGAAGTTAGCTCGCTAGTTTCGCTAGTTACCTAAGCATGATATTGCATGTTCTGACGGAGAGATTTCTGAAAAAAATCAAACGTACAGCTCTGCTATCACTTCCAACATAAATGAAGACAGGAAACTAAACAGCAGTGACGTTTGTAGGGTTACTGAAGTTGGGCTAGCTGGTATATAATGATGTGCTACGTGATCGCTAGCGACACAGCTATGTTAGCATAACATAAACAGTGAAGCTGGAGGACGAACACTAACACTTTTCCACTTATAAAAGTTAACGTGAAGGTTCTTCATGGTTAGAGACAAATGCAATCGCATGGCAGGATGCTGTAAACGGACCAAACTTCAGTCAGGAGAACAACTGAGATAATCCATCCACAATACGAGGTTAGTCATTAATATACTGCAACAACATGGGAATAGAGCAGCTACCATAGAATTCAACATTAATGAATCAATGGTACAGAAGTGGAGGAAGCAAGAAGAATGAGTTTAATAAAGTTTGATTTATCTGACTGCTTTGTTTCGCTTAATGTGCCTTATAATCCCGTGCACCTTATGGTCCGAAAAATACGTACTGCACACTGCAGTTTAATGTTGCAAAGCACCTCTTTTTAACTTCAGTGGATATTATACATGGTTATGCTCAGGATATGTCAGCCCATTTCTACTGGAAATGCCTTTTGGTTAAACTTTCAGCAAGGAATTTGCATTTGCACTGTTACATTTTTATAAAGCTTTAATGTACATAAAAACCAGTTTCTTGTTTAAGTGAAAATAAATGGAAGGTTGTCTTTTTGCGCTAGTAATGTTGTGGAGTTGTATTTTGTCTCGCATCAATTATATCGTCGGTTATATCGTTATCGCAAATTTTCAAATATATATCGTGATAAATATTTTTGGCCATATCGCCCTGCTCTACTGTAAAGCAAGCAGCAGCTTTCAGCACAACCTTGAATGTCTGCTGATGTAGTGCAGTGCCTTTTATCAGTAGTTGGAAAGCAATATAAAAGAATAACATATATGTTTTTTATAAATATCTTTTATAAAAACTTTGAGGGTTTTTTTTTTAGTCTTCAAACTTGGAGCACAAGTCCAGAGCTCATTCTCACTTCTGAAGGTTAACACAGCCAGATTATTTCATCGTTCTTAGCTAGAGACCAGATTAATTCTCTTTTACTTAAGGTTTTGCATTTTTGCTTGACGAGACATGTAAGAATCTGTGCTTTTGTGTCATTTTTAAGCACCATGAGTTGAGGGCAACTTTAATCATTTCTTTGCAAGTTCTTTTAGATGTTTCTATGGTGGCTCTAAAAGGTCAAATGCACTGCAACTTACAAAAAACAGGAAATATAAAAATGCACATAAGAAATCGCCAGAACAACAGAAGTCGAATAAAACACAATGAAATGGAAAAATGTTTCACAAAAAAGATCTCATGACACTGATGAACCCTCCACCTCTTGGTCCATTTTTCCTAAGTTGGTGTCAGTGTTGTAACATTTGTACAGCTATTAAAACAACAGCTGCATTAGGTGTATGTAAGCCAGAGGAGCTGCCATGGAGCTAATGACATTTGACAAGAGAGCAGTGGAAATGAAGCAAATGCAGCGGGAAATGACTTCAGGAAGATTCAGGATATTGGTGAAGATGCAGGATCCTGTTTGTACCTTCAAATGCAAATATTAAAACACTGATGAAATATGGTGAACAAACAGTGCACACTGGGATTTAATATATATAAAAAAGAGATGTCATCAGAGAGGAAATCAAAAAGAAAAACAAATCAAGTGGACGAGCAAAAAGCAGCTTCACACGAGGGTGAGAAACGGCAGAGAGGAAAAACAAACTAAATTTGCGTGTTTGTGTCTGCTGTCGCTTCGTCTTCCTCTCCAGATCTACATCTTTGAGAATAACATCTACTACCAGTCAGACGTGAGGAGCAACTCTCTGAGAATCACCTCCTCTGGGATGGAGGGAGTCATTTTCAACGGGCTCACTGACTGGCTATACGAAGGTGTGTGCCGCAGAGTGTATCGACTCTGAACGTTGAGTCCTTTGCATCTTTTATGAGCCCTTTAATCACTACAAGTGCAACTTTTATGTATAAACTGCACTTTGGGCTGATGCACCATAAATGCCAGCTCTGACTTAATGTGAATAACTGTGAAATTAAATCTTGCACAGACACTGAATGTAAATGAGTTATAAACACGTGTGAACTTTACTTATGACTAAATTCCTCATGACATCAGCCTCAGTTGTGGTTTCACATATAGATACACACATTAGCCAACATGAGCTCCTCTGTATGCCAAAGTTTTCTAGAGTTCAATGTGAGGACATCTGTCTGACAGATAAAGCATGCAACAGGACAATGAACACAAGCATACAAACAGAAAGCAAATCTCCAACACAGTGCCTGAAAAAGAAAAGAATCAAGGTGGTGCAATGATCCGGTCAAAGTCCAGACTTCAACCTGACTGTTGTGGGCTGCTGTAAGTTGTTCTACAAGTCACTGAATCGCAGGATGGACGTTGTTTTACAGGACTGGTAATGTTAGCATGCAAACCTCTCCGCTGGTAAATATGACAACAAATAACTTTTTTATACAGTCTATGATTATAACAAATAACTAACGAGCAATGCAATAAAAATGTAAAACATTTACTAAAATTCACACACATTGCAATGGGCCAGATATCATTATCTTACAGTGTTAAATGTTTGTATGTTATTCATAAACAATGAGCCATTCTAGTGTCTTACCTTTAGGATGTTACACTTATACTGGAGGCTGGAGTATGGCTACAGCGGCTGTGGTTTTACTAGATTTGTAACGTGCACTACAATTTTTCAGCATGAGATCTTTTCCTTTTACTCATTTTGACATATTCCACTAATAAAGAGAGAAAAAGCACATCTATGGACACAGAAACAGCCATTTATGAAAGGTGGCATTGCTCCCATTAGCAGTGCGCTTGTAAATTGCATTTGGCTCACTGCTCTTTTTGTTACTCTCTGAATTTCTCTTACTAAAATGCTCATTTAAGACCTTCAGAAAGTCAGTTATAAAAACTTTGTGACATTAATAATTGCTAAGTTTAAATCGAGGTGGTTTGAATTTTTGCCATTCTCTCTTTAAATGCCAGAAGGCGAAACAGGAGAGTCGCTGTGAGCTCGTTGGTGGAGGAAACAGTTTCAGGGTGCACTGTGGATTGTCGGTTTTTCAAAGATTTGTCTTTGGCATTAAAAATGCAGCAGAGCAGACTAGACAAACTCAGCAGAGTGGCAATGAAAAATCAACAACAAGCCTCTACGATCCATTAAGTCTCTGTGTAAACAAATTCAGTAATGTGGTGATAGTGTGTGCAGTGTGCGCAGTCTGCACAGAGAGCAGCACAAACGCTGTCTGAGAGAGATGGGGAACATTACAGAATAATTTTTGTTTGTAGATTTACTGAAAGCTGTTCATTTTCACTGTTTCATTTGCTTTTACTTCAGATTGCAGCCATTTGGCTGATATGTTCTGACAGCAGAGGAGCACAACTCCATCAAATAGTGTGCTTTTGACCAGTTTTTGGATTACATTTTAAATAACGTAAAGTGACCTAGAAAAGGCAAAAATAAAAGAATAAAAGAATAGGAGTGCAGGTGGGGAAAACCAGCAGGTTCATAAGATCTATCTGTCTTAATGTATGTAAGTAGATCCTCGGGTCGCTTTAAATACAGAATGAGAGGAAAAAATCTAAATAAAGCTGTTTTACAGATGGTTTTGTGTGTTTTATTCCTGATCAGAGGAGATTCTACATTCATATTTGGCTCACTGGTGGTCTCCTGATGGAGAACGACTGGCCTACCTCACCATCAACGACACACTGGTACCCAACATGGTTCTTCCCCAGTTCACCGGCAGCACGTACCCCCGAGGCCTACAGTACCCATATCCAATGGTGAGGCTGGGCTCTGAGGAATAGACAGTCGCTTTCTTTAAGGCTCTTTGCAGTATTTTCATCCTTCAACTAATACACAGCTAAATCTAAATATACCAGAGGGAAAAGGCAATGCCACATCAATAACCTTAGATTAGCAGAGTAGCAGTAAGTCACTGCTCTGCACATCTGGCTCAGGTGGAATCATTTTAAATTATTTTACTGTAAGTAATTACCTTAAAGTGCAGTTTTTCGATCACAGAATCATGCCTGTTGTTAACGCAGTGCTGCCCGAGGGCCCGAAGACCACAGGCATCCGTGTTGATTTTGGGCTTTGTCCTTGCACACAGAGATTTCTCCAGATTTTCTGAATTTTTCAATGATATTATGCACCATAGATGATGAGATATTCAAAGTCACATTTATGTAGAGGAACATTATTCTGAAATCTGTCCACAGGTTGAAGATGCAGGGTTTTTTCAGATTTGTTAAACTCTACCTCTTAAAGATGCTCTTTTTATACACAATCATGTCACTGACGTGATGCCAATGAACCTAATGAGCTGGCAAAAGTTACTATTTTAGTACTGCAATCAGTGTGTTCTGTTTTTGTTCACATTTGACACAGCATCCAAACTTTTTTGAAATTGGTGTTGTCATTCCCATCGTGATATCTTGAATTTATACTGAACGCATCAATACTTATGGACACGTTTGCACTCAACCCACAAGCGTTAAACTCGGAAGTTGGCTGAACATTCATACAAACAAATTATCTCCCTGTTTTTTAGATGATTTGTTGATTGTTGTTTTGTCTCAGAGTTTTGGGAATTAATTTCTCACTGTACACGTGATACCAGTAATTCCCCAACCAATGATATGTCTGACCGTTTAAATGATCCTATGACCTGAAGACCACAGCTGTAGTTATTGTACAACTGAGGATGCAAAAATCTGCTATGTGGAAGAGTAGAATTTGTGGAAATAAGTCATGAACAGTTATTTATTTGGTGTTAGCTTGCATATTCTCTCTGTGATCTATAGCATTGTCTTTTCATTTTAAATGAATTATTCAGACTTTTTCTCTGCTTTTATGTATAGATGTCAACACCACAGTCTCGTCTTATGTACATTAAATTAAAAAGCTGATTTTAGGGGATGTTTCTGTGTCCGTCCCATCAGGCCGGTCACGTCAATCCTACAGTCAAGCTGTCGGTGGTCAGCCTGGTTGGTGCGACGCACACTCAGGAGATGCAGCCTCCCGATCAGCTCGCGCTCAGGTGACGACACACAAACATAAGCTCGGGCTGGCACAGAAAGGTGTAAAATCCACAATTCGAGTCTCCTCTCTGTGTCTTCTCTGCAGGGATTTCTATATCACCATGGTGAAGTGGATCAGTAATACTCACCTCGTCGTGCAGTGGCTCAATCGGCCCCAGAACGCTTCTCTGCTTACTGTGTGTGACGCAACAATAGGAGTCTGTCTTCAGGTTAGTGCTTTTGATTTAAACCTCAGGAAGGAAACTTAGTTCAGGGTTTCATTGTCCGCATACAGAGCAGATTACTTAAGTGTACCCCAAAGCACTGCTGTGAGTTGAGAAGAATCAGACTCATTAAAGTTGTACTGTTATTTTACTCTCTTAGGGCCAGTTGTTCTGCTTTTCTTTATTTACAGTCAGATATATACAGTCAGCGAGTCCCAGTCTTTTGTGACACTGAGGCATGTATGCCACTCTGATACAGAGTAAATTGTAAAGTGGCAGAAGCTCTTTGCTGCAGTCTTGACTATAAGAAGATCAAGGCTGCCACTTTACAAGCCTGTGACCCTTTGCCAGGACTTATAGGCAGATGGTGCTGTGCTTGTAATGGTGCACACTTCAATCAGTGCAAGTCAGTGTGAGCTGCTGCTAGGTGAGGACTATGTGCCAGAAAGCACTGGAACTTCTCTAAGTGTCAACTTTGCATCAGGCCGCCACGTGGCCGATGAGTCCACTGATACACCAAAGTAGCTTTAAGCATGCCTGCTCCCACTTGCGCTCTCTGTGAATAAAGAACACTGGCATTCATTTGTCAAGACCCAAGATGGAGAAACTGTCATAAATGTGGTCATTTGGTTCTAAAACTGAAATCATAGGTATCTGACGTTCACCTCCACACATCCAAAACTGGATGGACTGATAAAAATGGAGTTGTTGTCAGACGGGTTTAAAGATGGTGAAAAGCGGTTATGCTCTGCGGATTTTGGTTTGGCAGCTTGGCAGATGGTTTGGAAGAATGACCAATCTCTGTGACATAAAGTCCAGTTTATCAGACACGGAGAAGTCCAGTTTGGCATAGAAACAGTTTTTGGTCTTCCCTGCCTTCTAAGGCTGATGGCAGTGGTGGACTGCACTGATGGGCATAGCCTAAAACTCTTTTCAGACCTACTGGTAAGTTCCTTTAGCTTCTCAAAACCGTTCTTACAGTCTGTGGTAGGGGTGGGAAAAATCAATCAATCAAAACACTTGATTGATTGACTGCAAGCTAATAGCTTAGTCGCACAAGTAAAAATAGGACAGCAACCTCCTCACATCTCCAAGAAGACCAGTAGCTGTCTGACGATTGTATTGAATTGGTGATTGAACTGTTGGTAACATCATTGGTGGCTGCCAGCAGTTTGCATTCTGGTAATGTTCCTACAGAACAGGAAGGCTGCTGAGCACAAATGTGATAGTTAGATATTCATTTCTTTCCATGTAGACAGCAACAGATATGTGATGTGCAATGATTTATCAGAGTTAATTGCTGATAATTATGCTGTTAATTATGCTGTTATGCTGTTATTATCATAAACAGATTGCATATAACTGCCAACTTGACCCCATTTAATACCACAGTGATCGTAGACTGACTCTCTCATGGCAACATTTATGGCAGGTTTCAGTTACCACGTTGGTGTGCTTCACAGCCTCAGTACCTGAAGTGAGATAACTTTATCTTACAGAATAAAACAGATACTGACTAAATCTAATTTGCAGTTTAATAAAAGATGATAAATCGCTGTACGTGTTATTACTATACTCACAATAATAGTTAATGAGTGAAGTACTGTAATAATATAATATTATTAATAATATAATAATATGATCATGTTATTTCTACCTGAAGTATATTAAGTGATTTTGATGCCTAGTGGGGGGAGGGGGGGTATGAAACGTGGCTTATTTAACATAACTTGAGAGTAAATGTAGTACTTATAAGAGTATGACCCACTTTTACTAACTTGTGTTTGTACTTATGTGTTTTAGTTTGGCGTCCTTTGTTTTGATAAAAAACGCTCCCCTCATCTACTAGCCCCTTTTTGCAGCCATAACAGTGTGTAGCTGTGACAGGTACATGACATGCTAATGCTAGCTTTACCAGATGACATTTTAAAAACTTCATTTTTATTTTTCAGTTGTTTCACACTTTTTTGACCGTTGTCGTCACCTTTAACTTTCCGTGTTTCTGCTTTCTGTATAGTAGCATCCAGTGTGGCCCGCACTGGTGCTTCGCGTGTTCTTCTTCTTTTATTATTATTAAGTGACATTGAAGCACATTACTCCCACCCTCTGGTGAGATTGGTGCATTACATCCTAACAAGTGTCAATAAAAAAACAAGTGAAGAAATAGTTGCATAAATTATTATACTTTTAAGTAATTATAGGAATATTCAGAAATCATAACCATACCTAACCTTACAGAGACAATGGACACATGATTCAAGCTGTGTCAAACCTTGGATTTTATTTCCTGCTCTTTCATGCAGAGACATGAGGAGTCTTCAGAGACGTGGCTTTCCAGACAGGTAAGTCTGAATGCACACATTTATCACAGTGTCCCATATGTGGAATCAAACCGTGAATACCACACAAGTGATAAGTCTTAGCTTTAACTTGCAAACATTCATGCCAGCATTAGAAAGGACCAGATTTCAAGGTTACAAAACTAACCGGACAGGCTTCTGCACTCAGACCTTGTCCAGAGCTGTCTTTATTACACAGTTAGACATGTTTGTAGGACTGGAAATCATCAGTGTGGTTCAGGGGAGGGGGCATCTCTGGACAAGAGGCAGGTCACGTGACGCCCATTCACACCTGACAATCACAAGGACATTGTAGCAGAGACATCGGAGGTTAAAGACCATTTAAAGTATGAGCTGACCGTGTTTGACATCTGTGTTCTCACATGCTCCTCATTTATATGATGTCTAGAAAAGTCCAGGGTTCCTGTGGATGTGTGAAAATGGCGTAATTTTTTTTGGGGGGTGTTACTAGCATTCTTTTTAATGCTTGAATAAGTGCATTATAGCGTAAAAGCCTGCAAGAATAATGAATAAAGATAGATTTTCAAGGTTTGTGTATACAGGAGCATCCCCTGTGCTTGGATAAGGGGTTTAACTCATGGGGCGGGTTAGTTTTCACAGTAGGCGAGACGTGAAGGTTAAATCTCCTGCACAGCTGCCTCCTTTAATGTCGTATCCATCGATAAAAATATGCGTAGCTTATTTTTGGACTGTGTTGTATTGCTGAGTCAGCATGCAGCAGGATGCGTCCATGCGTGAAGAATGTGACCTCTGAAGTCTTGAGTTTCTCTCTGCAGGGACAGGATCCACTGTTCTCCAAGGACAGGAGCCGGTTTTTCCTCACGCTGCCTGTGAAGCAGGGAGGTCACGGAGACTTCCACCACATCACGATGTTCACCAAGAAGGTGATTTACAGACGACACTCTGCTCTTTTCTCCACGTCCTCGCCACAAGTGGTGTCGCCAGGACCGGATAAGAGTAGGACGACTGTTTCATCCGTTACTTGGCTTTGATTTTAATCCCAACCACAGTTTTTATTTAATCAGAATACTTTATTAATCCCTAAGGAAATTATGTAATTAATCACAAGTAATTTAAATTTAATCCCGTCTGGAACCCTTTAAACCTTTTATGTTGCAGAGGTTTTCTGAACTATATTTAATTAAATATTTTATTGAAATGTTATATTTAAGATTAAACGGTTTTGGTTATCCTGAGAGGAAACTATTTTTTCATGATGAAATAAAATGTTCAAAAGAGCTTTAAAAATATATTCCCTTTCATGTACACATTAAGCTGGAATTTACTAGTAATTAAAGTGGACCATTTATGCCTTCTCCTTATTTTCTGGATATATACTCACTGGCCACTTCATTAGGTACACCTTGCAGCTGTCAGGTTGTATGCTCTTCTTGCCTTCAGAGTTGCTTTAATTCTTCAAGTCACAGATTCAACAAGGTGCTTGGTGCATGTTGACAGCATCAGACGGTTGTTGCAGATTTGTCAGCTGCACACCCGAAAGGTGCTCTGCTGGATTGAAATCTTGTAAATATGGAGGCCCTTTGAGTACAGCCACACACCATTACACTACCTGAAGCCAGAATCACTGATATAGGGCAGGATGGCTCCATGCTTTCATGTAGTTTAGATCAAATTCTGACCCTACCATCTGAATGTTACAGCAGAAATACAGACTCATCAGACCAGGCAATGTTTTTTGAATATTTTGTTGTCTAATTTTGATGAGCCCGTGTGAATTGTAGTCTCAGTTTCCTGGTCTTAGCTGACAGGAGTGGTCTTCTGCTGCTGTAGAGATACTCTTCTGCATACCTTGGTGGTAATGAGTGGTTATTTGAGTTACCGTTGCCTTTCTATTAGCTGAAAGCAGTCTGGCCCTTCTCATCTGACCTCTGACATCAACAAAGCATTTTCACCCAGCGAACTGAACATTTTCTCTTTTTCTCTGTTCTTTTTGAAATACTTAGATCAACAACTGTGTCATGCTCAAAGTCACCGTTCTTCCATTCTGATGTTCAGGTTGAACCTCATTAAGTCGTCTTAAGCATGTCTGCATGCCTAAATGCACTGGGTTCCTGCAGTGTGATTAGATTAGTCTATGTTAATAATGTCATCCTCTAATCGCTCAGTTTAAGACCATCTTTTCAACCCAGCTGCTATTTAGACACTTTATTTATTTATTAATGGCTACAAATCAGAAGAAAGCTGGGTTTAAAGTGAGGTCATCACCAAGGTCCACAGAATGATTATGTAGATCTTTGAATGATGTAAAAAATACGCTGCTAGAGTCACACAATATAAACCTGGAAATGAGCATAGTAGGGCCACTTTAAAATAAAAATACAATCTGGATTTTTATGAATTAATGTTAAGAACAGAAGCTCTTATAACTGTGTAATTCCACATGATGTATAAGATGCAATGAAACAAACTGCATTCGCAGGTCACTGAACTTCAATTATCAGCTCAGTTTTATATGAAACTTTAGGACATTAAAAAAAAAAATTGGTCATTAAATACACAGAAGCTTAAAAATTGATCTAATTTACTTCAGGTTCTTCAATTGTTTTGAGTTCTTTTTCCTTGTTCGCATCGCTGAAGGTTGTAGTATACAGACAGCTGTCACTGTGCTGCTTTGCTAATAAAGAAAAAGTCAGGTTCCAACTGGTGGGTTGGACCTAAAAAGGAAACAATTCTCACAATAAAACGCATATTTGCATATTTGCAACTGTCAAGAAAGAGGAGGCACAGAATCGGGGCTGGCACCAAATGTTTAATTGGAGAGAGACAGAATATCAACCAAAAATCCAGAAACACCATTATATAAAAGTTATAAATTGATCTGTATGTTATTGATTTAAATAATTATTTGAAGTCAGTTGGTAATGCCGTTGGTGACACACTACGCTGTAACTGACTGAAATCTGAAGACTCAAAGAACACCATCCCCCACGTGGAAACATGGTAACTGTACAATACGACTTCATGAGATCCTGCTTCCCTCAGCCAGGACGCTGAAAATGAGTCATGGATGGCTCTTCAAGCAAGACATTGACCCAAAACATATCACCAAAGCACCAAAGGACGGGCTAAAGAAGAAGCACACTGTGATAAAAGAGTAGTCTAACCAGACTTCAGACTATATAGAGCTGAAGCTGCTGAGCTTTAGCCAAAAAACCTAAAGGATTTAGAGAGTTTCTGTAATGTGGAGTGGACCAAAACACTTCCTGGGATGTGTGCAAACCTGGTGACCAACAGGAAACAGCTTACCACATGACTCTTGTTTTGATTGGGGATCAAATACTTATTTATTCAGTGACATGCAAATCAGTTTTTAACTTTTATGTAATGTGGAGCCTGAATACACAACCCCCAGACTTAATTTTTTTATTTAACCTTCTTTTCATAAGGAAAAAATAATCTTGAGATTAAAAGTCTCTTTTGTCATGAGTGTCCTTGCAAACAAGGACAGCAGTACAATCATAGGCTGCACAAAACAATATGGAGCACACACATCCAAATCCATACACCAGTTAAATATGGGCAAAGGATGAACATTAACAAAGAAATTTCTAAACTTCACTGTCAATAAAAATGATTATCTTTGTCAAAATAGTAGTCGAATGCCAGAAACAAAGATAATAATATTCAGACAGCATGAAGTAACTTCATCAAAGTCATTTAAAACTGCATTTCCTAACTAACCAGTCTGGGATGAGAGACTCCAAGTCTTATCAGTTCTTCACTTTGTTTTCACTTCAGCATGTTTCCATCAAACTGTTTGTCTTTCAGCTGCGAAGCGACCAGGACGAAGTTCGCAACTTGACGTCGGGAAACTGGGAGGTGACAAAAATTGTGGCGTACGACGAAAACAACCAGACTGTGTAAGACTCAAACAAAATCATAACCCGTGTTGTCTCAGCAAACACTGATTGATATTTGAGAGGAAGATGTTAAGACGCTTCTCATACAGCCACAAAAATGAATGTTTTAACACAGACTGTGTGGCTTTTCGTTGCCAGGCTGTAATTATAACGCTGGACTCAGAAAGCAGTGGCTCAGATGTAAAGTAGACGATGAGAGAAAGGAAAAACACTCCTGCTAAAAGCCTAATTTTTCTCTAGATGAAAAGCCTTTTTTTCATTTTCCAACCAAGAAACAGAATAAAAACTCTTCTTTCTGTCTTATTTATTTTTTCCCATTATCACTGCTAATAATAATAATTCAGCTTCATTGAGGAGGAGGAGATAAACGTGTGAAAACAACAAGTGCTTTGTGAGCTGCCAGTTTCATGACAGCACAGATCTTTACTTACGGTTGGGCGGACACAGAGACGAGTGCAGGCGGATGGATAATGGATGTGTGACCTTGTCCTACTTTAGCTGCTCTGCTTTCCTTCACACAGATACTTCCTGAGCACAAAGGACGCTGCAGAACACAGACACCTATACAGGTGAAACACACACTTAAAGCCTTATTCCCCCAGCCTTTGTGTGTGTGCGTGTGAGGCTCGGTAAACATTTTGTCCCCTTTCCTCTGACAGTGTGTCGACTCTCAGCTCGTTTCCACGGCGATGCCTCACCTGTGGACTGCGAGAGGGATGCACCTTCTTCGATGCCAACGTCAGCCCAGACGCACAGCACGCCATCGTGCACTGTCGAGGTCAGAGAGGGTCGATGCACATCCCGCTCGGGGAAGCATCACACACACAAATTATGAGGTCTCGTGTGAGCAAGATTTGGCATTTTAATGACAGAGTGTTAATGAGCACTCTTTCTGAGCTTATGAGTTCTGACCGGCAGAGGCTGTAACACACGGTGAGACTTTACGCCATGAAAGACAACGTTTGAATAGAGAAATATTAAGAGTTATGTGTGAAGAGGGAAGTCCTCTTTCAGTTTTAAAACTCTATATATGGGGGCTTAATGAGAAACCATCTGGTCCTCAGATGAGAAACAACATGATTTATTGCACAGTGTAATTATTTATTTAACAGAAACTGAGCCAAAATGCAGAAGCAGTGTGTAAAACAAGCATGGATCACCTCACTGCTTTCACAGGAATGAAAGTGTTTCTGCTTTCTATCAGGCCTCAGTTAGCATGTTAAATGTTAAAATTCATGACAGTCAAAGTAGAAAAGGATGGGACAGGTATGGCTTCTTTGGAAGGTTTAGCAGGAGAAAGCCTCCTCTCTCTAAAAACAGCAGGTTTGTAAAACTGCATCTGAATAAACCACAAGACTTCGGCAACAATGTGTTTTCGAGAGACGAGACCAAAGTAGAAATGTTTGGTCAGGATGCACAAAACCAAAGACCTCATACCAGCTGTCAGCACGGTGGTGGAGGGCTCATGATCTGGGTACCTTGCGGTCATTGAGTCGACCGTGGACTCAGGACAATGATCCCAACCATAGCAGCAGATCTACAGCTGCTGCAATGATTCAGTCAAACGTCTCACCTCAGCCTGACTGTAATGCTCTGGTGGGATCTTAAGAGAGCTGTCCATGAACCTCAATGAACTGGGATAATTGGAGATAAATTATCTGAATTTAAGGAGCGAGACCACACTCCTTCTGGGTATTATCTATTTATGGACCCCATCCCCATTAGTTTTTTTGTTTCCTGTTCTCATGCTGTCCTCCCAGGAGCCCAGCATGAGTAGAGGATATCTTTTTTTCCTCTTGTACTTTCCCATTGTAGTGTATATTTCAGTGTTTTTTTCTGTAACGCTACCGATCTCCGACCTGTATCCCCATGTGATGTCTGTGTTGTGTGTGTAAGGTCGGGGGAGTCCTATTTCACTGCAGGGCAACCTGCACGTGGCGAATAAAGCTTTGATTGATTGATTGATTGATTGATTGATTGATTGATTGATTGATTGGACCAAGTGTCCTTCACAGTGATGCTGCTGAAGGTGCTTCTACAGGCTGCTGAATCCTGAGGTCTGCTTAGGTTCAGCATTTTGGTTCTTGTTAAATAATGACACAGTGTAAGATGTCGTGCTGTTGTTCATCTGAGGTTTTATTTAAGTAACTTTAGAACCTGGCGAGGAACACATGACTGTATTATGTCCCCATATGTAAAATCTTATAATTGAATTAGATTTTCCAGTGTAAATCAAAAACACTTGTTTTTATTTTACATTTTTAACCCTTTAAAACCGGTCAGAGCGGGCACGCTCCGTTTTGCGTAACTATTTTTAAATCCTGGTAGCTCTGCAACCACGTAATATAATAATAATAATATATAATAATATAATAATTTTTTTTGCATATGAAACCGGAGCAGTTGTACTTACATCTTATGCCATCAGCTTGTCCTAGGTCACGGCTTCCTTCCACATATAGCTTTGCAAAAACTGCATAAAAAGCAGTTGCAGCAACAAAAACACAATATTCCAGAAACACGCTTTGCCGATCTGATCAGCTGTTTGTAACACTTCCTACGTCCATCAGCGTGAACTATCGCATGTCCGCCATGACCTGCCCGAAACCGGAAGTGACGTCATTTTCGCGGAAATGTAGTTTTTTACCATCAAGGCCTCAGGGCCTATACTTGTGTTTTTAAAAGTTATGTTTGACTTTATGACTTTCTGTGTCGTTTCTGGGATGCTTATACTCATATTGGACTGCTGGAAATAGTTTATTTTGATGCAGATGCTGCTTTTTTGCAAATTTGCACTATAATATTTATTTTCGTTTTTCCTGCAGTGTATAGAAATTGGTGTATTTCAAAAATAAAACTATGAAGACACTCAAAATAAATTTCCTGTGGTGGGAAACTATTTTGTGCAACTTTTTTGTATTTACAGTTTTGAGGGATAAGCCTTTCCGGTTGGCTTTTTGGCTTCTTTGGCTCCATGCTAGCCATGCTAGTTTATTTCTCCAGACAAATAACGCACTCAATCTAAAGCCAGACAACACCATCTATCGACAACATTGTTCACTTTTACTTTCTAATATGGCAAATGCAAAGGAAAGCTGCATTTAGAGCTTGGCTGAGAGAATTAAACCTGATTGAAATCTCCAGTTTCACTCTTTTTGCTTTAATCGCATAACAACTGCAGAAATAAAAATAAAAATACTCCTGATGTTCAGAATAAGTTGTTCTTTTTTGCTTTTGCATGACTGATAATTGGTCAAAACACAACCTAAAGCAGGCTGCATCAGCATGGAGCTTTTTATTCACAAGCACACAGTCATCTCTCTCCCTCTCTCTCTCTCTCTTTCTCCCATCGCAGGTCCCGGAGTTCCAGCTGTGCTGCTCGTCAGTCTCGCCGACGTGGACTGTGAGTGGAGTCTTTACTCCGCCTGATGGTGTTTGTGCGATGTTTGTGTGGGTGGGCAGATGTGCTTTTTTCTCACTTCTGCTCTGAAATGGAAAATAGTTTTCTGCAATTAGGCAACATCATCTCATTTGTGTGGAAACATGAGCAGCTGCTGGATTTGGTGCCAGACTGCGCTGATAATTTCTGCATTTTGGAGGCATTTAACGTCTTTGTATCACAGTTTAAACGGGCGGGTGTCATCGCTTAGTGTTTTAGAAGAGCTAATCATCAGCAGGGCTGCAAGGGGAATTCATTAAAAGATTGTGAAAGAGTGGATTTGGATACCATCTGTGTAAGTTAGTGGTGCACTGATAGAATGCCAGAGAGAGGACACCTACACTACATTTCCAAAAGTATTCACTCAGCCATGGTGTTCCAGTCACCTTCATGGCCACAGGTGGATGAAATCAAGCAGCTAGCTGTGCAGACTGCTTCTACAAACATAGTGAAAGGAGAGGTCACCAACTTCATGCACAGTCGCGGCAGTGACACCTTTGCTTGGCCGTGTGCTTGTGCTTCTTCAAATGCACATGAGCTGCAGAATTTTCCGTTACACAAAAGCAGGAATTAAAAGCTGAATTAAAGTACAGTAACAGTTTCCATGTGTCTGTTTTTAGGAGAAATCACCTCAAAATGCTACAGGGCAGCCTCGTCGTGTCGAGCCACATTGTGTTGTGTTAAAGTCAGGCTGAAGTAACAAACGTAGTTATGTTTTCTGGGGTTCCTTTTGTGAGAAATTCTTCCAAATGCTGAAGTTTTCAGGGATAACAAACCAGATGCTTGTCGTGAGAGGATCAACTTTCTCCAAAAAAAACATGCATGTTTAAAAAACATCACCAAGCTCACTGTTGCTTCTCAGTGAGTGTATTACTGCCACTTGCTGTGGCACTTGGAGACTATGGGGGCAGACAAGAACCCACTGAAGGTCCAGGGCTGAAAAATAAATCCACAGCTGAAGTACCAAAAACTGTAGTTCTTCTAATGCCTGTTTGAGGTGGACTCTGTCAGAGGGCTCGAGGATGGAGAAGAAAGGAGCAAATTCACCTTTGATATACAATCAACCAAGTTTCCTTATGCAAGTTTTCCTTAGAAATAAGATTGGGGGGGAGGCGGTATGAGAAATCAGATATAGTTTATCAGAGAACACCACCATGACTGGTCTGCAATATGGATTATTTATGTTGCTTATCAGCAAATGCTTTCAGCCTGTTCATACAGTGGATTTATAGCCAGTTTACCCAGCAGCCTTTGCTGAAGCCTGGTGCGTTTTGCAGCCACATAGAAAATAGATGAATTACGACTGAAGGTCTCCCAGTGCATTTGCTGCATAAATGAAGCAGAGAGAAATTAAACAGCCAAGAGTGACAGCTGTCAAGTTAAGTCTGTGATTTTTATAGTCCAGTATTACAAACGGCAAATCTTTCTCGCGGGGGTTTCACAATCTGCACCAGCTGCACTCAGACTGATTTGAAAAAGGTGAAAACACGCTCAAAAAACATTTTGTATTAGGTAATTTGGGAAGAGTGACTAATGAAGCATCCCTCTGATAAGACCCTGCTTTACAGTAATAGCATCTTGGGAATCCTCCTCAAATAATGAGTGTAAAGGGTTTCCTATAAAAGGACATTTTCCTTAAATAACAGGTAGAAGGTGAGTGGTCATATTCTAAGCAGGGTCATGTTATATTGAGGCCTATGTGGTGTTTTAGGAGAGAACTGCAGGTGTGAGTGTTTTTCTCCTCAAAGGTGATTTTGATGTGTTGCCAAGCCAGAAAATATTTACTGGTTGGTCTGGTTCATGGTCATCAGTAAACCAGTCTTACACTGCAGGTTTTTCCCAGTAATCCATACAGTAATGAACTTTCTGAACTCTTCTAGCTGATCAATCATACATCAGAGGCAAAGCTCAAATGAGAAACTGTGAGCATGTTAATAAAACTGCAAGTTAGAGCTTTTGCTATTAATCAATGAGGACCTGATGGAAAAACACCAACACAATTAGCTGCTCATTACAAACTCGCATATGAGTGTCGTGTACCTTTTAATAGACACCTCCTGTATGAGGCATCTATTTATGACACTGTTTATTCTTTCTAGCCACGATATTGGCTGTGTTGTAGTAAACATTAGCAAGTTTTACATTTTACTCAAGCAGGCTCATAATCCATGCTACATGCAGCGGCCTCGGTCTGCAGACCCTCAACTGAGATAAGTAAAAACACCATGGCGATCTTCTGATCTCTAAACACAGCTGTTTGAAGGTAGGGGTCATCCTCTATCAGGGTCAATATTTGGTGAGAACAGAGAGTCACGTGCTGGGTTTTTCCACCCACAGGAGGTAACAGTGAAAACTACCATACTATACTAACTTTATTTGTAAAGCACTTTACAAACAACCACAATGAACCAAAGGAGAAGATGCAGGTTTTAACGAGATTTAAAAACGAACAGAGAAGAGAAATTGTTCCACATTTTAGGAGCTGGTATCAGATGTTTGAGTTTGTGCTTTCTGACCAAACACCTCGATTTTGGTCTCTTCTTTCCAAAGGACATTGTTCCAGAAGTCATGAACTTGAACGTTTATCATGCTAACTGAGACCTGTAGAGTCTGAGATATAGCTCGTGAATAGCAACGTCAAGTCATGACTTCTTTTTATTGTGTAAAAATAACAGTGGCGTAATAACCAGCAGTCGATGAAGTCTTGATAGAAAAACACTCAGAGAATTAACTGCTCCGCTCTGAGCATCCTGGACCTCTTAGCACCTTTTAATGATTTTTCTCGTCTTAATAACAGCTTTGTTGCACTCTGATAAACACGATTTCTTCTTCACAGTGTATTTCGTCTTGGAGAACAACCTCCCCCTGCGCTCGGCGCTGGAGACTAAAAGGATGATTCGGACGGAGCTCACTAACACAACCTTTGGTACAAATTATCTGCACTTAACAGCTGTGCTAGTGTGTGAGCTTCATGAGATAATTGAGCCACTCCGAGCGTGTTTGAGTCTGTGCACCTGTCGTCATGTTTGTGTGTCTGTGCGTGCATCTTTTTTTTATCCTCGCCTCGTCTCCAGCTAATATTTCTGCATGTCTTCTCACAGGGCTGCCTCTGAAGCTCATCTATCCTCCTGACTTCTCTGACTCCTACATCTACGGCCTTCTTCTTATTGTGTAAGCCTTTTCCACTTTATTACATTTGCCTTTTTTATTTTATTTTATCGCAGCACTGTGAGCTTCAAAGGCCAGACTCTGTGAGGACAGCTAAAAATGGAACTGCAGTGTAGCTGCAGGCTGTCGGACACATTTGTGGAGATGAAAATGGATGTTTGAGAAAAATGTAAATGTCATAGCTAAAATCAACCTGCAGTTTTATATACATGCGGACTGGTTTCAGAAAGCCGTGGTTATACAGAAGTCTAAACGACCTTCAGTTCCCTTCATTTATGTCCTTAGTTAACATTTTTCTCAGGGTTTATGCCCTGGGTGGCTAGTTTTAAGTCTTTCTCAGTACAGCATGATGCTCATTTTGTAAATTATGGTGACCATTAGAGCAAAAATGGGTCAGGGCCAAGGGTCAAAATGCTTCAGTGAAGCGCCACTCTCACACAGTAAACTACAAATATGTCCGGATCTAAGAGTCAGTACATTAATGTGAGTAAAACAACCTTCCCGACAGCGACAGCTCTCCAGGCACCCAGACGGTGACGGAGGAGTTCAGGCTGGAGTGGGACTCGGTGCTGGCAGGATTGGCGCAGGTCATCGTGGCGCGGATTGATGGCAGGGGGTCAGGGTTCAGAGGTCAAAGGTAACAGTTTTTGTTTTTTTAGTAACAGAAGTTGTTTCAGTCCTTTCTGACCTCACAGTTTCTTTGTCTTTTGTCCTCTGGCAGTTTTTCACAGCAGAGGCTCGGCATAGCGGACGTGGAGGACTACATAGCAGCTCTGAAGTACGTAGCGTCCACCCTGGAGTACCATTTCTCTGTTAGACAGAGATTTTGTCAGAGCTTCGCAGATGACTCTGTGGTGTTCTTGGGCGGGAAAACATAAACAAGATGCATACGTTAAAAAAGTTAAAAAGCAAAGCAAAACCCTTAAATGATCTATAACAAGAAGCTTCTGAGTCCTGCTTTGTATTTTGTATATATTCATTTCGTTTTCTTTGTTATTTTTAAAATTATTTTAAGAAGTTTGAAGTATGTAGTGCCATAAAACCCAAGGTCAGAGTGAAGTCAGAGGTCAGATGTGACACAATATTTGTAGGATATTCATAATTCTTTCCTAAATGTTGCTGATACAAACAAAGAAAGTTTGACCTTAATAAACTTGTCAGAGTTCCAAAGTAACGTAATATATTTAAAATCCTCCTGTTTGTCATTCCCTACATGTCTATATGCTGTCAATACACGATATGGCAGTAAGAAACATTAATGATCACTTTGACTTTCAGCTCAATCTGTTGACCTTGAAGAAGAGGTCAGAGGTCAAATGTGATTTGAGGTTTAAACCTTTATATGTTACTTTCTGTACTGACGACACACCAAACTTGTGAGAATCATAGTTTCTGGGTTTTAAGGCTTTTTGTCATTTTTCGACCAGTAAGTTGACCTTGAAGACCTCGATGGATGTAAGGCTAATTTTAATGACTTGTTAATATGAGTGCACCTTACTCGCCTACAGAGTTTTATCAAAATTCATTTAAACCTTAAGAGCGTTCATGTTTACAGACAGAATGAAGCACACATGTAAATGCTACTGAAAACATAACTCCTTGGCCCGAAGCAACTAATTGAGTTTGTGAACAGAAGAAAATCAATCGAATCTCTGTTCCCAGTTTTCTGGATATAAAGGTGCTTGTTTTATGAGCTCTAAACATCTTTGAAATGGACATTTTAGAGCTTGTCACTGTTTCTTAAAAAAAATAAAACATTTAAATGGTCATTTTTACAACTGTTACACCTTTTATTGGAATTGATGAGATGATTAGAATGAGGTCTGGTGTAAGTGATCTTTGTTCAAAACTTTGGGAGATGTAAAGAAAAAAATTATTTCTTTATGAATAGTAATATTTCTGGAAAACATAAATTTGCATTCAAAAACTTCTCTCACGGCTTTGACCTTTGACCTTCCTTATGTAGCTTCAGCAGAGTGTGTGATGTGTGAAATGAAATATAAAGTTATAATTACCTCTCTTGCTTTCTGATACCCACTTCCTCTCCACTCGTTAAAAATAGCCGCTGTGTTTTTCAGTTTCCTGGCGGAGCGGCCGTTCATCGATCGCACTCGTGTTGGAGTCTTCGGCGAGGTTAGTCTCTCACGCCCTGACCTAACCCTGAATACACGTGTGATCGGTACAGTAACTGTAGTGGCTGCCCAGTCAAAACTCTGATTTCTGTTTCCTCCTCATCCAGTGAATTAATCCCACAAAAAAGGGGAAATGAGATTTTACAAAGAAAACATGGTTAAAATGGACTCTGCCATCATTAATTATAACAACTCAGTGAAGCTTCAGTCTGCCTATTTAAGAAGTAGAAACCACTGTGAATCCATTTCAGCCGCTTTGGTACAAAAGAAAAAGAGGTGCACTGGAGTATGGAGGGCTGTGAGTGCCAAATGAATTTATTTGATGTACTGAGGTAATTAAATTCCTCATTAAATTATAATTGAATCTAATAATAATGAATTAAAATAATAAATGCTGTATTAACTGTTTTAAATGAAATTACTTAATATTAATTATTTGTATATTTAAATAATTTTTCATTTACAAATGTAATTATTTATTAATGACACCTTAAATGAATGATTTAATGATGTACTCAGTTAATTCATTTTGGCACTTGTGGCCCTTCATTAGGAGGCAACATTTGTCATCATGCATTTGTCATCCAGGGACTACTTAAAGGTTCTGGCCATAGGAGACTTGTTTATGACCTGTACCAGGAGGAACAGGAGTTTCTCTTGGTCTGAGTAGTCTGGGTACCGCTAGCTAGCACATGAAGGTCTGTGTGACCCTCCAAGGATACGCCTCCCCAAACCATCACTGCCAAACGGGCCACACTGGATGATGTTGAGCAGTGTATTTACTCTTTGAGCTACTTGTAATATAATGCTCCTGTTTTTAAACCCAGAACAGCCCACTAATACCACAAAAACCCAATTAAATTACACATTATTCCCTAAAATTTAGTTTTGCCTTTCTTTATTAGTTTGTTAAAGATATTTCAACAGTTCTTGCTGCCAGCTGCTCTTGCTGGAGACCATATATAAATGTAATGAAGTACAGATCCATGCAGAGACTGCCATTTTTTGATGCTGTGTAAACACGATAGAAACGTCCTGTGTTTTCGCTGTGCAAGTGACGCTCCTCTAATGTCTCCCTTGCAGGGCTACGGTGGCTACCTTGCGCTGATGATGCTGAAGTCGACAGAGAAGCTGATCAGCTGCGCAGCTGTTCGCGCTCCCGTCACCGACTGGAGCATGTACGGTGAGCAGGAATTTGAATCCTCTTTAATACAACGCTCCAGAGACGTGGAAATATTTATTACTTCTGCTGCTGCTGCTGAACCCGGCTAGTCATTTCTCAGAACACAACATCTTTATCCTGCACAATCTTTTTCATGTGCACTGCCGGGGTAATGTCACTTTAATTATCCTTTGCGTTCGCTTTCGGGAATTCAGGGTTATTACATTTAAAGATGAAAAAGTTCTCGTCAGTTCTGGGAGGGAATGCTGGGCGTTAGCACTCCTGTACAGCTCAGGACTTCCTGCTGGCTGTGAGTAGAGTTTAATAGACTGAAGTGTTGCTGCAAAGCCTCTGCTTCAAAGAAAGCGTCTCTGTCTGTCTGTCTTCACTCGTAAAAAGCAGAAATAAGACGCCTTTCCACCTCCGACTGTTCTTCCAGCATGAGTCGAAGAAGACTTCAACTTGTTTTTTGCCAATAATAAACTTCAAATGTGTCCTCTAACATAATGTGTGGCTTCTAGCTTATTCCAGTGCCACTGATCTGTCAGATCCTCCAGAAGATCCATGCAGCACTTTTTATGTAAAGTTCTCAGGTTGCTGCTGACGTCATGTAACCTCTTTGATTTCCCTTTTCCCCTTCAGCCTCAGCCTTCTCAGAGAGATACTTCGGCTCACCTTCAACTGACGAGAGCAGATACCAAGTGAGCGTCTTCTGTCTTTTACCCACCTGCTTCTTTATTAACGGATGACTTAGATTCATTTCATTTTAGTCATAGTTTAAGCATTTAAACTCTTTTATTTTTATTCAACTAATTGTTGTAGCACGAGCGTTCCTCCACACGGCATCTTATTTTCCTGTCCATCAAATGTGAAACCTGTCCATATGTCCGCTCGTCTCTTCCTCCCAAGCGTTTTCGAGAGAAACTGCGAGCACGTGAGGTGGTTGAGTCGTTTCCCGAGGGCAGCTCAAATGTGTATGTCTGATTACTTCTGATTGGATTACTTCCAAACTCGTCCCGCCTTGCTCACAACTTCATAAGTTCTGATTGGATCTCTTCTCTCCAAAGTGTCCATCAGTTTTTGTTTAGTTATCATTTGTTAGTTAAGAAAATTAACACTGCTAAGAAATTCAGCTAAATGCGACTGGATTTGGGAAGTTGGATGTCCCTCATCAGATGGCGTGTCACGTTTGACCTCTGACCTCACATCTACATTTCACATCTGCCTTTTTTAGGGGACGTCAGAAAGTATTACATGCTTAAAGATAGTAGAGTAAGCTGCATATACTGTAGTGTAGAGAGTGAAGTAAATATCTCTCATGCTACCAGTATCTGATTTTTTACTGCACTACAAGCTGCTTAAAGTACTTTTAAAAATAACAAAGAAAACAAGATGAATGTATACAAAATACAGTACTGTTCCCTTAAAAGTAAATATTGCCCAGAGAGTGAGCCGGCTTGGCGGAGGTTTGTGCTCTCCGAGTGCTTCTTGTTATTATTAAATCCTTTATTTAAACAGGCAGTCTTATTGAGATCAACATCTCTTTTTGAAAAGACAGACCTGTGTACAAAAAACATATACAGAAATTGAGACACATTATACACACAAAAAAAGAAAAAGGTGTGCTGGGGTTGTTGCAGGGAGACAAAGACGACCCTTTAAAGCGCTCCAGCGAAATCAGAGAATAGTTTTTTTTGTAGCTTGTTCCATTTATAGACAGCAATGTGTTTAAACAAGAAGCACAGCTGATGATAAAATGTCCTGCGACCTGACACCTTTATCTTTTTATCTTTACTGTGTTTAAACCGAGGCGTGGAGGTAAGCTGGCAGCCGTACAGGCTGATTCATGCAGCTCAAATCTCTGAAACCAAGGAGAGTGCAAACTTAGAGCCACTTTAATGGGAAATGCAGCTGGCTGATGATGCAGGTGGCTGGGTGGGTTTCACCTTTACCTGTTTGATTCCCAATCATTTCTACATTTTACATAGCAGAGGTTAGACAGCCAACACAAATTATACAGCTCCCATTTTTTAAAAGTAAAGAACAACCAGTAAAGAAGAAGAAAACATTTAGGAACAGAGAAATGCCATCCTAAAAAAAAAAAAAAATCACCCAGCTGTCCTCCAAGTGAAGGTTGCAGTCAGAGAGTGTTTTTCTTCCTAAGTGGGTTGCCTGTAACTGGGCCAGAGAGCTCTATTTTTGTGACTCTCGCAGCAGGAGGGGTGGTCTGCTTCAAAAGTCACCCAGAGAAGGAAATGTGGCACAATCTGATCAGACAATAATCAGCAGGGCATCATCACTCACCCAGTCCTCCGAGATGCAGAAACAGACGGGTGAGAAAACATGCCGTGGTTGATGGCTGGTCGCGGGTTTGAATTCCAGCTGGGAACAAAATGAATGACAGCAGTGAGACTGAGACATCCTGTAATATTAAAGCTTCGCCCTCCCAGTGCGATCGCTATCAGTCTGGCATCTTGGTTTAAAAAAATGTTTTTTGCTTAGTTTTTAAATATCTTAATCCAAAAAAAGCAAATCAAAGAGCATGAAGGACAACAGACGGGATCATCACACTTAAAGTGTCTCACGTTACATCATGTGAGTCTAGCGCCTTTATTTCAGTGGCTTTAATTCAAGCAGACTAAAAATATAACTCTAAGGTCGAGTTTTTCCAGGCTAAATAAATATAAGAAATGACCTCAGATGGAAACACGAGCACTCAGAGAGCTCAAGTCACCCTGAAGGACAAGGGCTACACTGAAACTTTGTTTTCATTACAACATGCTGACGTCAATGTGTTACACTGTCATTGTGCTGCTAACATCAAATGTTTTTACTCAACTGAGGTACTCGTGCCCCCCAAGTCCTGGTATATTGTTGTGAAGTTTGAAGACGATACATAAAAAGTTGTGGATAATCTAAAGTTTTTACTGATATTCACATTCGGTGTGACCCTGACCTGATTTTTACTAAAATTAAATCAGATTGAGCTATTTTTGGTAACTACCATCACACAACAATATCCTGAAAACTGTGGACGCTGGACTGCTAACAAACAGACAAACAAGGGGAGCTGATTGCATACTTCCTCGCTTCAGGGGGTGAAAAATACTGATGGCTGTCGGTTCTACCCCTCAGCCTCCTATTAGATTAAAAAGGCACCTGCAGCACAAATGCAGTGTAAAGGTCCAGTTTAGTGACTCTGATTAGCCAAGGTGAGGACTTGCAGGCTTAACCTTCCTGTTACCGCATCTTTGGGCTACAAGCCAGACTACAAACCAGTACTCCTAGTTTCAGTCCCAAGACTGAATGAAAGAAGAAGGTTGTGTCAGGAAGGGATTCCAGTGTAAAATATGCACCTAATCAAGCAAGCAGATAATTAATAATGTGAACCATGGAATGACGTGAAAACTGTGCTACTGCTGGCTGAAGAGGGAAGGCATGTTCAGAGGCAGTTAAAGAGAAGGAAAAGCAGGAGCGCCGGAGTGAGAGGAAGACCTCAGAGGAGGTTCATATAGTGAAGGATGGGCTGGTGTGACAGAGGAGGATGCCAGGCATAGCGTGAGATAGATGATCCAAAGTGGCGACCCCTTGAAGGAGCAGCTCAAAGAAGAAGAGACAAATAACCTATCATGCAGTTGTCATGCAGGGGGAAACAGGGCAGTTTGTGGCCTATAAACATGCTTTTTATTACTGTAAAGGTAAACATTTTAAAAAGTTGAATGGAGATGATGCGCTTACTAGAGGAATGACAGGTTTGGCACGTCTACGTTCGTATAATTTTTCATCAAGAAGATGGTTACTTGCTTTAATAATCTAGTGATTTCCAGTATATTTAGCTTAAAGCTTCTGTTTACTGCTTAACTAATTCAGAGTCACGAGGGATCTGGAGCAGGGTAGACCCCAGATAGATGGACAGAGAAACATCTCACTCTCACATCCTCACCTAGAATCACCAGTTAATCTAACATGCCTTTAGACTGTGAGACGAAGCCAAGCTTGCACAGGGAGAGCATCAGCCAACAAGAAAAAATTAGCTTCTTATATATTTTTTCCTGTTAATGATCTTACAATCCGCCTCCTCAAGTGGAAACTTCACGATTAACTTTTCTTACACTTTTGACCCTTCAATCAAATTCTGATGCTTGTAATGTTATGACCTGGTGTTAATGCGACAAATAATTTGATTTGTGTCCAATCTTCAGGCTTCCAAAGTGCTGTCCGGCATGAAAAATCTGGGAGGAACTCTATTCCTGGTCCACGGCACTGCTGACGGTATGCACATTTCCTTCATCCTCCTCACAGAACAGCAGAAACGGAGGATGTAATTTGACTTCATTTCACAATAACATCGTAGTAATGTGGGCTACTGAAGGTAGGCGTGAGTCTCACGAGCCTCTCTGCTATGCTGAGCTTTAAAACTTGACCTCGGCGAGTGTGGCGCCTTTTATCCAGTGGTGGAATTAACCTCTCCGACACTTATTTGCATGTCCTGTTTTTTTGTGTCTCGGCAGCCAATGTTCACTTCCAGCACTCGGCCGAGCTCATCAAGCACTTAATAAAGATAGGAGCCAACTACACTATGCAGGTAAACACTCGGCTCTTACAAAGAGTTTTGCAAACAGCAGCTGTGGCTTTTAATTAAAATGGGTCATTCTCCATTATGTATCAGTGCACTGTTATGCAGAGTCTTTATTTACTCCAGTGTGGCACAGGAGATTTGCTGTCCTGTACTTGAGTTCTAAACTTCATTGTAAAAGTGTGACTTTTAGGATTTTTTTTAATATTTAAAAACTCACTTTACCCCACTTTAAAGGTACTTATGAAGAGCCATCATTCAATAAATAGCTTTAGTTTTGCTGATTACCTTATCACAGCTTAGCATGGTCACAGCTAGTCCATTTTTCACTTAAACATGTTTTAAAAACCTCTCTGTGCCAAACTTCACTGAAAAAAATGTGTTTTGTGACAATACTTGAAAACGGTTAAGTTTTGGAAAATATGCTAAAGAACAAACCTGTAAACATGTTGCTTTTATGCTTATAGTAAAATATATATATAATTAAAAACATAACTAATGAGTAAACTTTAGAGATGCTGCTAGGTGGGTATTGCTGCCATTTGACTGACATTTGCTTCTGTTTCCAGTGTTTGAATTAAGCTAAGGTAAGATAGCATATAAGCTAGCAAAGGTAGCATATTTCTTAAACAGTGATGCATATCATCTGTTAACAAGAGAGCAATTCAATCATATTTACCTAAGTATAGCTGCAAATACTGTAAATCATATCTTCCACAGTCTTACAGTGTCAGTAAAAATCCACCTTTGCTTTGGTTGCTGGAAAATTGCGACCTGTCGTCTGTAGTTTTTCGCATTAGCAAATTCTTGCCAGCTATTCGCTGAGCAGTTGTCAAACCGAAGAGTAAACACTGCACTTTCTGTAACATAGTTTGGTGATGTGGTAAAACAAACTTTTACTTGGACATTCTCTATTTCAGTTTGACAGTCAGTGAATAGTTGAGGAGTGTTTGCTGACAACTTGGTGTCTTTCATACAAAAAAAAACTACAGACGACTGCAGTAATTTCCCAGCAACCAAAGCAATCACAAGGAGGTTTTGGTGCAGCAACTTCTTTGTAACCAGTTTCATCTGGTGATAGCCAGCAATCACTCTAAAAGCCCAGACTCAAATCTAAGTATCTCCCCAGAAAGTAGAGGAACCTGATTTTCTCTGATCCACAGATTTGCTCCTAGTTCTTCCACAGACAGATAAACAGATAAAAGCTTCTCACATATCTTGTTTCAAAGTGAGCTACGAGATAGGAGTGGGCAGATTGATCCAGATGTTGACAGTATTGATACTAAAGCTGGTATTGGTATCGGATACTAGCACGATTGGATTGATGCTCTCTTTGTCTCGTCTAAATTCAGCGCTTTGCTCCTGTTCATCAACAAAGCAGCAACACTTTAAGCTGTTAAATTTTGAGCACTCAGAGGATTTATTTGTTGGATATCTGCAGTCCAGTCACTATAAAGCAAGGAGACTCAAGGACAGACATTTCTATTGTGGTCAAAACCTTGAGCACATTCGAGTAAAGTGAACCTTGAGTGAAGAAAGTGAAGAATAAAACTTAAAGCTCACTACAAGAATTTTTCCAGAGGTTGTTCAGATCAGATAAATTCTCTCCTCTTTCTGGGCCAGATCTTCCCAGATGAAGGCCACTTCCTATCAAGACGCAGCCAGATTCAGCTGACTCACTCCCTAATTGGATATTTCAGAGGATGTCTCCTCGATGCGTCATCGTTACTCAACCAACGGGATGACGAGTGAGAGGGAACGGGCTCGCTACTGTTTCTGAGCGTGTGTGTGTGTTTTATACCTGTAGCACAATGTTTGACAGACAGGAAAAGCTTCTTATTGACATATCAGAATAGTCTGTGTCACCTCAGTAGAAATAAGTTTTCACCTGCTGTCAGAGGTTGTCAGTGACTGTCCCTAGATTTCCTTTTTTGTCCTGGTGGCACAAACAAGCCTGCGAAAGAAGCATTTAGAACTGTTCAAGCTTCAAACTGTGAGAAAACTGTGAGATCTTGTTGGAGTTGTTAATCGGAGTTCAAATATAATTGAGAAATTGCATTTTTTTAACCTTTAAGGTTTAGATTAGTTTAAAATCTGTGAATCCTTGTTGCCTAGAGTTTAACGGCTGATTCAGAAACCTGTTGTTCAAGGTGTGATTGAGACGTTCCTCCGTCAAAACAACTTAAAACGGTCCATGTATTCAAATATCACCAACCAGCACAAAAACCAACTCCTTTTTCCAGTTTATTCCTGATCATTAGTAGAGGAGGAGCTGTTTGAGGCAGTGTCCCAGTGAGGCAGATGTGTTAAAATACAGCTAATGCTACAGTCACACCAGGGAAAACAACAGCAACAAGTGGACGTCCAATCTTGTTGCCTTTTAAATTATTGCTTCGACTTCGGTGCGTCGAAGCAGTGATGAAACTGTAAGGTGTTTATCTTACGGTTTAACCCTCTCAGGCTCAAATTAAGTTTTTGTTGCTAATGCACAAAAGAATACCTGCAGTGGTACTTCTGAGTAAAAAAAACTCATAAAATATGTATGTGCGGTAACCAGGTTGTTAGCTTTTACTTGTTGCAAATCTGCAGCGCCTGCCTTGAGAGGGTTAAGGCGCCTTGAGGCAACTATTGTTGTCATTTGGCGCTATATAAATAAACCTGAATTAAATGGCAGTGTGATGGAGTCGATCTGCTTTCAGTCTGTGATTAATTGGGGTCATGTTGACAGTTTGAGTTTGTGAGAATACAGCCGTAAAGGCTGATAAATCAGATAAAATCAAAGATCTTTTGCCAACTACATGCACAGAAACTCACACCAGTTACAACATCACAGATTTGAAACAGAAATTCCTCCACAGATAGTAACATAGGGTTTTTTTTATTTTTAAACAATACAACCAGTTGAGTCGAGCCTCTCATTGCAAAGCATCTCAGCGTTGTACCAGGAGTTACTGCAACTTGTTGGCAATCAATCTGAGAGCGATTGCAGTCGGTCAAAAGGCAGCCTGCAAGTGTTTGGAGACAATCATCACAGTTTGTGCTTTGGTGTCATGGAATCATTACACTTTTTATTAGCAGTGTTGGTGGATATGAAACTCATTTTTACGAGATGAAGGGACTCGAACCCTCAATTTCCTGATCCGAAGTCTGACACCTTATCCATTAGGAAAGTGGTCACACACTGAAGCACAGACTTACTTCTGGTATGGTTTTTAAAGACGGGACTCTTGGCTCACACCTTGCATCAACTGTTGTGTCTTTCTCAAAATATTAAAGCATAATGATACCAACGATACCAACCTGACCCAGAGGTCAAGAATCTTCCAGAGCTGGGAGAATAAAAAAGTAGAAAAACATCAGTTTTATAGATAAAGCCATGTTTAAAAAACCGACTTCAAGGGCGTTTTCAGGTCATGTTGTTACCTTCTTTTTCTACGTCTCATTTCCCCGGGTGTTTGTGATGCTATCCTGTGGATTATTTATGTGGGGGCAGCTTACAAAGTTTGACTCATCAAGCTTATAGACAGCAATAGTGCTAAACAGATGTACGACAGTTACAAGATCTTTTTTTAAGCACGCTATGTTTCCTTGTCCTTACTGAAACAGAGTTATTTATTTATTTATTACATCTAAGAGTAGATATTTACCATTTCACACCAGTTTTTTTGGTGTTGTGCAGGTGTGGAGGAGCTTAATAGCTACTCATAGTTTGGCCTGGACTACATTTCAGGACAGCCTACTTTGGTTTAATTTTTCTCATGGGTATTTGAGCAGCTCTGTTGCAGGTTAAATTGTGACATTTGGCTTATAATGTATATTTTATGCTGTAATTTCTTTTTTTTTAGATAGCTGCAGGCTGTTCTGTTTTTGTATATTTAAGTATGTGGTCCAAAACTTGGTATAGAATCACCTTTGGCTGATTAAGTGCCAGAAGTTTTCACTGTATTTGGTTCTGTTGTTCTCCAACTTCAGTTTATGCATTTCCAGCTGCTTCAAGTCTTCTCTTTCGTAAATACATCGTGGTTGTAGTGTTATCCAGAAAACACTGCAATAAAAGCATAATAAATGTTATGCCAATACGACACCCGAGAGCGCTCCTCACTGTGATTACGGCTCTGAGAGCGATTCCCACAATTACCGCTCGGCCGCTCACAAGTGCCATCAATCACAGAGACGAGCATCCTCGGCGAGGTTCATCTCCACGCGAGGATAAAAACAGTTGCAGGAGCTGGCGTGCGTCGGGGGTGAAAAATCCCCCCAGTGCTTGGCTTGCAGGTAGTTGCCATGACAACTGTTTTGGTAGCCCAGGATACGGCCACTCTCATAATTCATTCAGAGATGAGCGCTTTGCATCGCGGAGCGAGCAGCTGCTGATGCAACATACTCAAAGCCATATGTATCTGTGCTTTGCAACATGGAGTCTGTGAGGGGATGGATTTTGTTCTGGGGAGGGTGGGAGGGAGGGGGGCAATGTGGATGTGGGATGAGTGATGAGAAGCTTATTGTAAATTTTTTCGCTGTTTTAATATTAAAGAATGATGAAGAAGTCATGTTTGAGCTGTGAGAGTTTCTTTGTTAAACACAGGAACACCTCGGATCTCAGTTAGGCTCATAAGCATGGACTGTATACGAAAGATGCAAGGCAACAAGTTAAATCAACACAAAAAGTGTCCAAAAGTTGATTCTGTTCATCTGGACGTAGCGTTTTGTGGGAGAACTGTACAGTACAATGTACTGTTTATAAGAAACCTGCAGTCATCTGAGACTGAAGAAGTCACTTGGATGAGTGACGAAACGTTTCTCCCACAAAATGCTATGTCCAGATAAACAGAATCAACTTTTGGAGATTTACTTACCCGGATGATTGAGCATGCATCAAGATGAACACAAAAAGTGGTTAAGCCTGAATTCTCGCTAATGTCCAGCAGGGGTGCCTGGCTGGATAAAAGCCTAAGATCTCCGCCACAAGGCGTAGAGGCTGCTTAACAACCTTCAGTCGCTAGGGAAAGATGTACAGTATATTTGCAAGAGGCAGGATATCAGCTGCAGAGAGATGCAGTTTGCACTTGACATTCACTCTGAGCTTTAGTGAAACTTGAAAAAGTGCAACACAGACTAGAAATGGAGAGTGTTAACCTTTGGCAAGCAACCTGCTAGCAACCAAGGCAGTCACAAGAAGGTTTTTCGGTGCAGTATCATATATCCTCTTTGTTACCAGTTTTAGGCTAGCAACCCCTAGCCAACCGGATGGCGAATGAAAATTTTGGCCTAGCAACCAGATGGTGGTTGCCAGATGACCACAGACTGGTCTCTAAGCCTGCGTGACTACAACTTAAATGAAAACCGCCCTCTGCCTCACTGGTGTGTTTCTGTGAGAGCTTCAAAGCACCTTGGGGGCATTCCAAAAGCGGAGCTCAGGGGTCTTTTATTTTGAAAATTGACTGGATTCTATATGGTATTCCTGTGTCTGACTTCCTGTCCTGTGCAGCTTCTATCAACAATAAACCCAGTTCTAATTTGAGAATTTGGTAAATGGCCTGGTTCTTATATTGTGATCTTCTATTCAAAGACTCAAAACACGTTTTACAACATGTCTAATTCACAATCTCAGTCCTTTCTATCTCTGACTCACCTATTCTCATAACGATCGTGTAATTTCGCAGGACAAATTTGTGCCATTTAATTTTTCTGGAAAACGCTCACTGTTTTAGGATTTTTCGCATTTGAATAAACAATAAACAGCTCCGGTACTAAAAAAAAAAAAAATCTTGCTAAAGATACTTTGAAATGCAGACTGAAGCATCCTGGGAACATACCACCAACTTTCCAATTGGTAGATGACCTTTACACGTGTGAAACTAAAGTCTCGCAAGTTTAACGTCTTACTGAATACAACATGATACTCAGTAAATTATTTAAATTATCTGTTCTGGTTCAGAAGGAAATAGGAAGTACGTGCTCATTGGCTAACACAAGTTATAAGTTTTAGAAGATGGTTATTTTTATATTTGTGTTTAACTGCGTTACCTTACATTTTGTGGTATTCCTTTACTAAGCTTTTATTGTTCTAACTACCGTATCTAAAGTAAGACCAATGTCTTACTAAGGTCTATAAATATATTATTATTGAGTTAAGAATAGTGTTCATAGCTCTCTCCTCCAGAGCAGAGATTGTTTTCAGATGCATCAGGGGACACTCGGCGTCTTCAGTAGCATCATGCACATAATTCCTGCTGTCATTTCAGAGTCATTCATGAACATGTCCGCAGTGTTTCCCAGCCTCATCGTCTCCTGTCCCCCATCCTCTAACCCACATTCCTCAAGCTACAAGTAGGTTCTCATATTTTCTGTGTAAAGTGTCTGTTTGGCATTAAAGTTACAACAGCTGTCTTAACTTTCAGCATGAGTTGATATTTTAAATGTAGACACGGGTAAAAACAGCAGACTTGCTGTCCACAGGCATCAGTTTTTCACCAGTGTGTGGTTAAATCAAGTTTTCCTTTGTTAACTTCTTGGGCCTTTGTACCTGAATAATTTCCTCCCTTCATTTGCAGCCAAAGTAGTGTACAGTCAGCATTTTCTAGGTAGAAATGATTAGTGGCTGTTGTGCACAAATCAGCAGCATTTCCCTATAGACCACTTCAGGTCTCGGCTCAGTAGCAGAGCCTGAAGATTAGTCAGGAACTCGATGTGAAGCCTCCACCCATCGGTCACTGCTATGACTGAAAATGGTGCCACATTTGGCTTTACAACCTAGAGAAGTGCACCTCTTATAAAAATTCAGACATGAGCTGAGGAGGGGTGAAAATGCTTTGTGAACATAATAAATTAGCAACAACATAGTTGCCTTTAAATTTTCCAAAGTTTAAATTATTTTCTTTCTTTTTTTTCTTATAAAAATGACACAAAGCAACTGTGAACTTCACATATAGAGTATAAGTTATGCAAAATGTGGTTAGTTTGCACTAATGAGACTGGGCTTTACATGTGTGCTACTTTCTCTGGATATATTTGTTGCACAGCAAGGTAAATTTGGCACATTTTATATTTACATGACCTTGCTGGCATTGCCCTGTTGATGTGGCACTAAACCTATTTCCAACAGCTGTTTGTCCAGCTGCTGCCTCCTGAAATCCAGTCATTTTCTTAAGCTGGGTGCACACAGGACAGCTGATTCTCAGACTTGAAGGATGGACAGCATTGTCTTTAGATGTTTGACATCACAGAGTTGGCTGCTGCAATGGACTCTGGACACAGTTTGTGGACAAATTTAAATGTAGACAGTGTCACGAGGACCATCTCACAGTGTGACTGCTGCTACAATCTGTTGGTCCTTGCCCAGTAAGAGAGGTTCATAGTTGGTGAACAAAGATAACCTGGGGAGGAAAAAAAGTCCATCATGCAGTGATCCAACTTGAAATGGCAACTTAATGCTGGCAAAACAAGGTTGAACAGATTAGAAAGAGTGGAACCCCCTGCTCTTATACACTGTTGTGATTTAGGAATCTTGGTAACAAGAAACAATTGTATTGATATATTTGATAATGCTGCCGAAATGGTGATCTGTCACTGAGTAAAAGAGACCTTGCTGTAAAGTAACAGAGCTACCACTGCACCACCAGTTCATCATCCATATTCTGCTTCTTATCTGGGTCCAAATCAAGGCGGCTGCAGCCTAAGCAGAGATGGACCAGGCTTCGCTTTCTCCAGCCACGTACTCCAACTCACCTGGAGGAACATCGAGGAGTTGCCAGGCAAGCTAAGAGACATAAATGAGCCCCGGTTCTGCCCCTGGGTTTCTGTCCTGTAGGGAACACATAATCTAGGAGGCAATCGAGTCAGATGCCCAGATGCTCCTTTTCAATTTGGAGGAGCAGTGGCAGTACCCTGAGTCTGAATGACTGAACTTTTTACCCTATCTCTAAAGGAGAACTCTGTTCTGCCGCTTCTATCTGCTGTCTCCAATATCGAAGAAGGTTGATTTCAGTGTCCTGATTGTCCTTATTTAAGTATTTTTTGAGCTGCTGAAATCTAACCTATCAAATATCATCTTGCAGTTCTCTCTTCTGTTTAAACTTGCTATAATCTGTCCTCATTTGACACTTGCAGCAGCAAACGTCAATACTTTATCCATCTGTGCACGACCAGGCTGCAGCCTGTCCCGACCCTGCTGTGATTATTTATCGATATCAGCACCTTGTAATTTCCTTTTTTTGCCATATTGAGCAGGTGTGTTTGTGTGGCACCCTGAAACCCTGACAGATGTGATTTAGGGCCTCACGGCCACCTCGAGAAAAAGCGAGTAACAGTAAAAGTTGGTGGACTGTGGCAGCAGACTTATGAAATCCAGGAGAAAAGAACATTTATCTTTCTCTCTCAGCCCTCTGTGACCTTTATAAATCCCCCGTCCGCGCTGTGCCTACACTCCGCTCAAATTGAGCCTTAATTACATCAAAGCAATTACAGAGCGCCTCATCCAGGGAAGGGAGGAGAAGCTGCGGCGGAAACTTCAGAAGATGTAAGTTAAGTTCGTCTCTGGTGGTTCAGCAGAAAATTTATAAAGACCAAAAGAAAAAACACTTTGTACTGCAAGAAATGAGGAATCGAGCCTTGCTTTGACAGTTTTAGAGTACAAAATCTGCAGAGGGGTCACTAATATAAAATGTTGCTTTTGATTAATCCATCCTGATTAAATGCATACATTTAAAAATAAAGTACGGCGCAAAAGTCTGTTCTGCGTAAAGTCACCCCACACTGACATCTAGTGGTGGACCACCCACATTATAACCCAGAAGCCAAATACAGCCATTGAACGGTTTAGGGAAGATTTTAGTGTTGTTATCTTATGGTTAGTTATGTAGTTACAGAAAAATAACAAAATATTCGTTTCTATTGGTAGAATAGAAAATGTTTAAAATTTATGGATCTGAATGGGATTTTTTTTAACCTTTCCATTGTTTGCTCTTTCCTACACCACTTATCAAACTCTCTTTTTATCTTTGCGTCACTTATACTTTGAACTTGATCTTTTTCTTTTTTTGAAGAATGACATATTATTCTATAAAATAAATACCATCTACAGGTGTCATTCGATCTAAAAATGTGTAATAGGATGCAGATTATTGGACAGCCTGTTTAAAAGCCATTTTCGTTGGACCAGAAAGCTTCAACATTTCCTAAGAAGGGCTTTTTATTGGTCTATTAAACCAGTACTGTAATAATGAATCTGCATATGAACATATACTATTAGGCACACATTATGGTTTTATAACTTCCCTTTTCCTTTTTTTTTAGTGCCTGGCTTCTAAACCTTCATTATAGATCTGCATCATAGAGTTTTAATAAAGTGTTGATGAGGACAAGCTTGATAGGTGCGAAGAGTTTTATTAGAAAAAGAAGATACAGACACAGTCTCTCTCAGTGGAGAGTCGTTCTTCAAT